CTGAATTTACAGTTGCAGGTGTGACAACCCGCTTCTACCGGGATGGCGAACGCTTCATGATTCGCACAGATGGCCCGGATGGTGAGCTGCAGAGCTATGCGGTCAGCTATACGTTTGGCGCAATACCCCTGCAACAGTACCTCATCGCCTTACCCGGCGGGCGCCTGCAGGCTTTTGGAATTGCATGGGACAGCCGGCCGGAGCAAGCTGGTGGCCAGCGTTGGTTCCACCTGTATCCTGACGACACACCCAAGCCTGGCGATCGCCTGCACTGGACGGCCATCGATCAGAACTGGAATCATATGTGTGCCGACTGCCACTCCACCGATCTGCAGAAGCGCTTTGATGCGCCCAGTAACACCTACGCAACCAGCTACGCGGAAATAGACGTGAGTTGCGAAGCCTGCCACGGTCCAGGGGCAGACCATATTGCCTGGGCCGGCCAAATTGAACGTGATGATAATCCAAGGTTGGCTATTCGTTTGAACGAACGTGACGGCGTGTCATGGCTACCACATGAAAAATCGGGCCGTCCTCAGCGCAGCGAACCGCTCACCAGCAGCTTGGAAACAGATACCTGCGCGCGATGTCATTCCCGGCGCGGCAGGCTGGTAGACAACTATCAGCACGGCCGTCCTGTCGGTGATCACTACCGGCTGGCGACACTTGATCCGGGCTTGTACTACCCGGACGGACAGATCCTCGAAGAGGTTTTTGTACACGGCTCGTTTGTACAGAGCCGCATGCACGCTGCAGGCGTCACCTGCAGTGATTGTCACGACCCTCACTCTCTCGAGCTGCGGATTCCCAACGATGGCACCTGCCTCAGCTGCCACAGCGTTGGTGACTATGCGCTACGCTCCCATCATCACCATGCGCCAGCCAGCGAAGCCGCCCGTTGTGTTAATTGTCATATGCCGGAAAAAACCTACATGGTTGTGGACCCCCGGCGGGATCATAGCTTCCGTATTCCACGACCTGACCTGACGCAGTCCATGGGTGTACCAAACGCCTGCAACCAGTGCCACACCGATGAAACAGCCGCATGGGCCACTGCACAGATTGCTCGCTGGACCGATGGCAAACCCGCAGAAGGTTTTCAACAGCACGGCTGGGCCATGCATCTCGCTCAGCAGGGGTTGCCTGCAGCGCGCGATGCGTTACTGGGTGTGGTCCAAGACCCTGAACAATCGGCCATCGCCCGGGCCAGCGCCATTGTCGCGCTGGAGGCCTGGCTGGACCAGGGTGTTGCGCAGATTGTTATCGAGAACCTGACCGATCCTTCACCACTGGTGCGGCGCGCCGCGGTCGAGGTGATGTCTTCAGCACCGGAACAGGTCCGCGCTGAGCTGTTGCCACCGATGTTGCAGGATGCCGTGCGCGATGTCAGGTCTGCTGCGGTCATCGGACTTGCCGGATTACCGCCCGGAGCCCTGACGCCCTCTGCAGCCAGCACCTTTGGACGGGCGCTGACTGATTATCGCGCGACGTTAGCACTGGATGCGGACCGGCCTGAAGCGCAGGTCAGTCTGGGGGTACTACTGACCCAACTGCGCGACATCGAAGGTGCTGAAGCCGCCTATCGTCAGGCGTTGAAACTGGAACCTGCGCACGCACCTGCTGTGGTGAATCTGGTCGATCTGTTTCGAGCCACCAACCGTGGCGCCCAGGGCGGTGAACTGCTGATGTCCGCGCTTACCCTCAATCCGGAAGCGGCAGATATCCATCATGCATTTGGCTTGTGGCTCGTGCGCCAGCAACGTCCAGATCAGGCACTGGTTGCGCTGCAACGCGCTGCAACGCTGGCACCGGAAGTGGCTCGCTATGGATATGTGCTTGCGGTTGCCTTACACGGACGCAATCAGATTCAACCAGCACTGAATGCTTTGGACCGGGTGTTGGAGCAACACCCCTATCATGCGGAAAGTCTTACGGCTGCTGTGTTCTGGCGACAGCAGATAGGTGTCGATGGTGGTGAGTATGCCCAGCGTTTACTTGAGTTGCAGAAGCTCTACCGAGGCAGCTGAGCGGCCATCACATGGGGTTAAGTTAAACTGAGATAATTGCCTTTACCGAACTTTCGATCAAGTGCGCGGCTGCGTGCCAGCAGCTCAGTCTCAATACGGTGCACCTCTGCCATGTATCGCTCAGCCAGCTTTTCAGGAGGGTGTTCAAGCAGATGAATGAAGCCCAGATCAAGGTGCAGGCCTGGAATCCTGCACGGGACCAATGCAACCTGACCCTGCTCCAACAGATCGCCAATTAATGCCAGCGGCGCAAAGGTAACTGCATTGCTGACCGCAATAAGCTTCAGCACAAGACCCGGGTTAACTGTATTCAGGACCGGCAACCACTCGCCCGTCAGCTCATCCAGATAGGCACCGCGCTGAGCCTCGACCTTAATTCGTTTTGGTTTGCGCACCCCAATAACCTGATAATCGAAGATGTCCTTGGTTGAGGGGTTTCGCAGCCTCTGCAGCGGATGATCGGGCCTCGTATAACAATATAAAGGCCAGCGATGCGTAGGCAGGCAGTGGATGCGCTCCTCCTCACGCGCCGCCGCCAGATCACAGAACCCCAGATCAATCCTTTGAGCCAGAATATCCTGGGTGATTTCACGATAGTCACCGATGCGCAGCTGGCACAGCAGGTCACCACTGGATCCCACCAAACACGATGCAGCCGCGAGCCCTGACTGCTCAGCAGGAAAAGCACCCAGCCCGATACGAATTTCACCTTCATCTGCAGTAGCATGCCGATCAAGTTCAGCCAGCAAAGTCGCTCGCTGACGCAACATCTGCTCTCCATGCAACGCAACAATTTCGCCTTCAGGGGTAAGTCTGACGCGCCCCCGACTGCGCAACAGAAGTTGCTTACCCACTTTTTTCTCCAGCGCCTGAATACTGCGTGTCAGCGCGGACTGAGAAATATGCATTTCCTCAGCCGCGCGCCCGAAATGACCGTGACGCAGCACCGCTAGAAAATGGCTGATATGGTTCAAATCGATCATACAGATCCCGGAGGTTGATCAGATTAACGTAATGAGATTTTTGCATCTTACAATAACTACAATGCAATTGACGTAAAAATCAAACCCCATTACTGTGAGCGACGTGGGAACTGTTCTATCTTGCGGTGCCCTTCAGACAGAGGGCGTGGCACGAAGCCAGCCTCTGCGAAAAATCGCCGGATCGCGAGCAATCTTCACATGTACATCACAATCGCAGTGTCGCCGTTAGGAGGCCTACGACTGATATCTTTCTAGAAAACCGGAGCTATGAATGAAAAATAACGTCAGCCCAAGTTGGGTTCGATGCGTATTCGGATTGACCCTGCTGCTTGTCTCCTCGACAGCCGCCGCAGCCGTCTCAGATAAACCTAACATTCTCATCATCTGGGGTGACGATGTGGGTTGGATGAACACCAGCGCATACAACCGCGGCATGATGGGATACCGCACGCCTAATATCGACAGCATTGCCCAGGAAGGCGCGCTGTTCACCGATTGGTATGGTCAGCAAAGCTGCACCGCTGGACGGGCTGCTTTTGTTACAGGACAGAGCCCATTCCGAACCGGCCTGCTGAAAGTTGGCCTCCCCGGCGCTAAAGAAGGCCTTTCTGAAAAAGATCCAACCATTGCTGGGCTGCTGAAAAATCATGGCTACATGACCGCACAATACGGCAAGAACCACCTGGGTGATCTCGACGAACATTTGCCCACCAACCATGGCTTCGATGAGTTTTTCGGCAACCTCTATCACCTGAATGCAGAAGAAGAGCCGGAAAGCCCCGACTATCCTCAGGGTGCCGAGTTCAAGAAGAAATTTGGGCCTCGAGGCGTTATCAATTCAACTGCTGACGGAAAGATCGAAGACACGGGTCCTCTAACCAAGAAACGTATGGAAACCGTTGACGAAGAAGTCACCGCAGGCGCCCTTGATTTCATGGATCGTGCTGTCAGTGCTAACAAGCCTTTCTTCCTGTGGTGGAACTCCACACGCATGCACGTCAACACCCACCTCAAAGCCGAGTCTGAAGGCGTAACCGGGCTGGGCATTTACGCAGATGGCATGGCTGAACATGACACCCATGTCGGTCAGCTCCTCGACAAACTCGATGAGCTGAAAATTGCTGACAACACCATCATCATGTACTCCACCGACAACGGCGCGGAAATCTTCACCTGGCCGGACGGTGGCATGACACCTTTCCGCAATGAGAAAAACTCAAACTGGGACGGTGGTTATCGTGTACCGACCATGATCAAGTGGCCTGGCGTGATCGATGGCGGCACCGTCTATAACGACGTCTTCTCCCATGAAGATATGCTGCCAACCATTATGGCTGCAGTCGGCGAAGCTGACATCAAAGAAAAATTGAAGAAAGGTCATCGCGCCATTGGCCGGAACTATAAAGTCCACCTGGACGGCTACAACCTTCTACCTTACTTCAAAGGTGAAGTTGAAGAAGGTCCGCGCAAAGAGTTTTTCTACTGGACCGATGACGGCCAGCTGGCAAATCTGCGATATGACCGCTGGAAAATGGTCTTCATGGAACAGCGAGCGCATGGCTTTAATGTCTGGCAGGAGCCGATGGTGACACTGCGTCTACCTAAGCTGTTCGATATGCGGGGCGACCCCTTCGAACGCGCTGACCATGAAGCAGCCGGTTACGACATGTGGCGTTTTGATCGCGCCTACCTGATTCTCCCGGCGGTGGATTATGTCGCTCAGCACCTGGCAACCTACCGGGAATTCCCGCCACGTCAGGAGGCAGGCAGCTTCAACCTGAACAAAGTCCTCGAGACCTTGCAGAGCAACCCGGGAACAAACTAACGTTTCCCGGTGAGATAAAAGCCAGGCGCTATGCGCCTGGCTTTTTTATTCTGATAGCATGAACAACCAATCAAAAGCGATAGATTAGAGCACAACTTGATCCACTGACATCGCTAACCGAAACCACAGATGCCATGCATCTGCATTTCCCAACGAGATGGAATTATGGACAGTCGACAACAGGTTAATCAGCTTCGCGAGCGCGTCTGCGCTTCAATCATCGGTCAGGAAGACATCGTAGATCGCCTGATCATCGGCTTGTTAGCCAACGGTAACCTGCTCATCGAAGGGCTTCCGGGACTTGCGAAAACCCGCGCGGTTAAAAGCCTGGCAAAAAACCTGGCGGCAGATTTTTCCCGTATTCAATTCACACCCGATTTATTACCCGCAGACATCACGGGTACCGAGGTACTGCACACAACGGATGCCGGGCACGAATTCAGATTTGATCCAGGACCTATTTTTGCCAACATTGTACTGGCGGACGAAATCAATCGCGCGCCCGCCAAAGTGCAAGCTGCGCTGCTTGAAGCCATGGAAGAACGCCAGGTCACCGTAGCCGGCACCACGCATAAAATGCCGCCCCTGTTCACGGTGATGGCAACCCAGAACCCTGTTGAGCAGGAAGGCACCTATCCCCTTCCTGAGGCGCAGATGGACCGTTTTCTGATGCATATCTATATCGACTATGGAAACGAAGCGTCTGAGGGGCAGATTATTCGACTGGTCCGTGGCGAAGAACATCCCGAACAAAACAAAATCGCGGGTGAGGACAATACATCCCCTGCCCGACCTGAGCCGATTCCTCAGGAAGCGGTGTTTGCCGCTCGCGATGAAATCAGTGTGGTCACCGTCAGCGACATTGTGGAACGCTATATGGTGGATATTATTTTTGCCACCCGCTATCCCGAACGCTACAACGAAGATCTGCGACGCTGGATACAGATCGGCGCCAGCCCACGCGGCGCGCTGGCACTTGATCGCTGTGCCCGCGCCAAGGCCTGGCTGGCCGGTCGCGACCACGTCTTACCCGAAGACGTACGCGACATGGCTCACGACTGCTTGCGCCATCGCCTCACCTTAAGCTACGAAGCCAGTGCAGACGGACTTTCCGCCAACAACGTTATCGATCAACTGCTGGACCAGGTTGCCGTCGCTTAGCGCGCAGGCCAATACAACGGAACCAAGGACATTTCTATGCACGCTAAAAGAATCATCAACACTCTGGTACTGGTCACTTGCCTGCTGACGGGCCAGGCTTTTGCAGCTGACAACACCACCAAGCCGCGACTTGTGCTGCAAATCACCGTCGATGCGCTGCGCGGGGATCTACCCACACGATATGCACACGTCCTGGGTGAAGGCGGTTTCCGTTACCTGATGGATGAAGGCATTCGCTACACCAATGCACACTATCAGCACGCCAATACAGAAACGATTGTTGGCCATGCCTCACTGGCCACCGGCACCACGCCCTCTGTCCACGGTATGGTGGCCAATGTCTGGTTTGATCGCGATCAGGACAGGCTGGTGTACAACATCGAAGATGCAAACTACCGCCTGCTGACACAAGGCGCTGACGTCGACGCCAGTACTGAAATTGACCCGACTCAGAAAGCAGCCAAAGTAGAGGGACGCTCGCCTGCTGCCTTGCTGACATCCACCTTCAGTGACGAACTTGCCATGCATTTTGCCGGCCAGTCCAAAATTTTTGGCGTTTCCGTAAAAGACCGCGGTGCCGTGTCCCTGGCTGGCCACGCAGGTAAAGCGTTCTGGTTCTCCAAAGCCACCGGCGAATTTGTAACCAGCACCTATTACTACGAGCAATATCCCGACTGGGTAAAGACATGGAACGCGCGCAAACCGGCTCAGGCTTACGCGGGTAAAACCTGGTCACTGTTGAACAAACCCTCTACGTACCTGTTTGGTGATGCTGACAACCGTGAGTACGAAACAGACTTTCCAGGCTTTGGCCGCACTTTTCCTCACGCTTATGGCGCTGGCGACGATAAGTATTTCACCACGCGGCTGACGCTGAGCCCTGCCGGCGATAAGCTGACCCTGGATTTTGCCAAGAAGCTGTTGATAGAAGAAAAACTTGGACAGGATGACGTGCCTGATTATCTATCCGTCAGCTTCTCGTCCACAGACTATGTCGGGCATGTATTTGGTGCTTCCAGCCTGGAATCCGAAGACAACCTGGCACACCTCGATCGCACCTTGGCCGACCTGTTGGCTCATGTCGACAAACATGTTGGTCTGGATAACACGCTTATCGTGTTATCCGCAGATCATGGACAGCCCGAGGTACCCGGGTACCTGCATGAAAGAGGCATTCACACGGGCCATTACTTCGATACCGAAGCACTCGATCGAACACCTGCCATCCAGGCTTTGAAGGCCCGTTTTGATATCGGCGAGGAACTTATCGAAGCATTTTACCAGCCCTACATTTACCTGAATCGGGAATTGATCAAAGAAAAAGGGTTGGATCAGCGAACCGTAGAGGAAGCTGTAGCCGAAGAAATGCTTAAATTCAAAGGCGTCGCTGCAGCGGTTTCAGGCACCGCGCTGCGCAGTGCGGAACTGCCCGACAGCATGATCAACACAGCGGTGCTCAATAACGCGCACAGCAAGCGTTCCGGCGATATCTATCTCGTCTTTGAACAGAGTGTTTTCATCAACGACTTTGATGGCCTGATTGTGGCATCGGTACACGGCTCGCCCTGGCGCTACGATACTTTTGTGCCGGTAATTTTTGCAGGGGCCGGTCTCACGCCCATGCACGTGAGCCGCCCTGTTACACCTTATGACATAGCCCCAACCCTGGCTGCCTTTCTTGGTATAAAACCACCTTCCGGCGCCACAGGTAATCCGCTACCCGAGGTGCAGGGTGACTGATACTTCAGGCCACTGAGATGACACAGTACACCCGCGTCAAACCCAAGGCTGCCGCACCAGGTCCAGACTCGCGCGTGTATGCAGACCTGGACGAACTGGTTCGACTGCAGTTCGCCGCCCAGGGTTTCAGTTTTCTGCCGCGACAACCTGTACACAGCGTTCTTTATGGTCGTCACGCTTCGCGATTGCGTGGCCGTGGTCTTAACTTCGAAGAGTTGCGTGCTTATGTACCCGGTGACGACATCCGCAACGTCGACTGGAAGGCAACAGCCCGTGCCGGAGAACCGACCCTGCGGGTCTACACGGAAGAGCGTGATCGACCTGTCTGGTTGCTTGTGAACCAACGGCAAAGTATGTTTTTTGGCTCTAAAGAACGCACCAAGTCAGTCACCGCGGCAGAAGTGGCCGCGCTCACCGCCTGGCGCGTGCTTGGCGCGGGGGATCGTGTTGGTGCGCTGGTGTTTGATGATAACGATATACAGATGATCCGGCCGCAGCGCAGTCGCGATCAGGTCATGCGTGTACTCGGTGCCATTGTCAAAAAGAATCATCAGCTCAACGCTGATAATCCGCAGACGGCCAACCCAGCAATTATCAGCCAGGTGCTTGAGCGGCTCAGGCCCCATGCCAAACACGATTGCCTGATCTGTATGATCGGTGACGGCAGCGGTTTCGACGAACGGGTCCAGGATCAGGTTACCGAGCTGAACGCACATAACGACCTGATCTTCGCCATGATATACGATGCTTTCGAAGCTGAATTACCCAACGCGGGACCGCTGACAGTCAGCGATGCAGCACGCCATTTGCTGTTTGACAGCGGCAATCGCAATCTGCGCGATCGTTATAAAGCGGATTTTGAGGCAAGACTTGAGACGCTGAAAGGTTTGTCTCGCAAACGCGCTATACCACTGCTGCCCATCAGCACCGAAGGTCCGGTTGCGGAACAGGTTCGCGCCCTGCTTGGACCCCAGGATAGGGGGCGCCGTGTCTGAGACCACCGACCCTGGCAGCCTCAGTCGGCTGCACGATATTGTGCTTCCAGATCCCGTCTTCTGGTGGCCACCCGCGCCCAGTTGGTATGTTTTAGTCACCTTGTTACTACTGACACTTGTACTGGGTACCTGGTGGGGGTGGCAGCGATGGCAGGCGCGAAGGTATCGGCGTCAGGCACTTGATGAACTGCGAGTGCTGCGCGAGCGGAACGATGACCCGAAATCAGCCGCGACTCAAATACTCATTATCCTCAAGCGCACGGCACTGGTGGGTTTTCCTCGCGCGGAAGTTGCGCGCCTGAGCGGTGGGCCCTGGTGGGCATTTCTCGACCGTACTGGGGCTGATACAACTTTTGCATCCGACTTTGGCCCCCTGGCGACAGAATTGGCTTACGGTATTGAGCAATCCCTATCCGCTGATGAGCAACAGTTGAACGCTTTGTTCAGCGTCGCAGAACGCTGGATTGTCACACATCAGACACCAGGCAAAGACGCATCTCATGCTGCAGTTTAGCCACATCTTTGTGCTGCTCCTGCTACCCCTGCCGTGGCTGTCAGCGCGTTTGTTATCCCAATATCGAGAGCGCCGGCTTGCCGTACGCGCGCCTTTCCTCGACCGCCTGGCACAACTCACTGGCCAGACGCCGGCAGCACCAACAGGCCAGCTCAGTGCCGCCCGTGGACAGCGATTACTGCATTGGGCAGTCTGGGCACTGGTTCTGATCGCGTTGGCACGGCCGCAATGGCTCGAAGAACCACTGACACAGACGTTACCCATGCGTGACCTGCTGGTGGCCATCGACCTGTCTGGTTCAATGGCAACTGAGGATTTCGCAGATGCATCCGGTGCGCAGGTGGCACGTTTAACCGCGGTTAAATCCGTGTTAAGTGAATTTCTCAAACGACGCGAAGACGATCGGATCGGCCTGATTGTGTTCGGTTCAGCAGCCTTTGTGCAGGCACCCTTCACTGCCGACGGCACATTGCTGCAGGACATGCTGGCTGAAACCGAGGTCCGCATGGCAGGTCCGCGCACTATGCTTGGCGATGCGATCGGTCTCGCAATCACCCTGTTTGACCGCAGCGACGTCGAAGAACGCTTGCTCATTGTGCTGACCGACGGTAACGACACCGGCTCAATGGTGCCGCCACAGCGTGCCGCAGAAATTGCTCGAGACAAAGACATTCTCATCTATACCGTCGGCGTGGGCGACCCCACCGCAGTAGGCGAGGAATCTCTTGACGAGGTAGTTCTGGAAAGCGTTGCGGGTACCACCGGCGGACGCTATTTTCACGCCGCTGATGGCGTTGAACTGGAAACTATTTATGCCGAACTGGATCGATTAAACCCGCGCAAGGTAGACACCGTCAGCTTCAGACCCAAGCAGGACCTGTTCCATTGGCCGCTGGCGCTGGCCATGCTGTTGACGCTGTTGTACTACGGTAGCCAACCGCTCATGAGACGCCAGGTAAAAGTCGAGGCAGCAGAACGTTGACAGAACTGGCCGAATTGCACCTGCTGCGACCGCTGTGGCTGTTGGCGCTGCTACCAGCTGGTTTACTCGTCTGGCTATGGCGGCGACGACAGGCGGATGTTGCCTGGCGACAGGTTATGGCACCACACCTGCTCACGCATTTGCTCACCGACGAAGAGCAATCCAGCAGCCGAGTCCCGCCAATGTACCTGATTGCTGCGTTCTGGTGCCTTGCAACCCTGGCCCTGGCAGGACCGTCATGGCAACGCGAGCCGACACCTTTTGCAGATGACCAGGCGGCTCTGGTGATCGCGTTGTATCTGGGCCCCAGTATGCTGGCTGCAGACATCCAACCCACGCGCCTGCAGAGATCCGTACACAAAATTCAAGACCTGCTGGAACTGCGGAAAGGCGCGCGTGTTGCCCTGATTGCCTATGCGGGCAGTGCTCATCGAGTTGTACCTTTCACCACCGACAGCAATCTCATCAAAACGTTTGCCGCCGAACTCGCGCCTGACCTGATGCCTCTGCAAGGTAACAACCCACGGGCTGCCATCAAAATGGCACAGGAGATGTTCACGCAAGCGGATCAGGTTGGCAGTGTGTTGGTGATTACAGACAATCTTGATCCAGCAGCCCTCACCGAGCTGGACAGTCAGATACCACTCGATGTGCTTGGCATGGCAGCAGCGCCAGGTGCTGATGCAGCGGCTACGGGGCCAGCAGCACCAGCGCTGGACCGGGATGCCATGAGTAAAGCCGCGGGGTTACTTGATGGCCAACTCGTGGAAGTGACAATCGATGATGACGATGTCATCACTCTGGCTCGACGCCTGGACCTGCGCCCCACCGCGGTCACCACGGATGACAATCAACGCTGGCGCGATGCCGGCTATTACCTGCTGCTGCCAATAGCGCTCATTGTATTGCTTTGGCTGCGCCGAGGTTGGGTGGTTCGATGGTCGAGTTGAGACAACATTCTCCCCTGCCCTGCAGAGTGCTTGGCCTGCGTATCGCTATGATCATCATCATTGCGGGCAACACCCTCGGCTGCAGTCAGGACACCTGGTTGACGCCTGAGCAACAAGGTGAGCGGCTCTTTGCAGCCGGAGACTACGCTGGCGCCGCACAACGCTACACGGATCCCATGCGCATAGGCGCCGCCTGGTATCGGGCGGGCGAGTTTGAACGCGCAGCCATGGCTTACGGTCAGCGTGCCTCTGCGCAAGCACATTTCAATCGGGGCAACGCATTACTGATGCTGGGCCGCTACGACGATGCCATCGCGGCGTACGATCTGTCTTTACAGCAACGCCCTGTTTGGCCGCCCGCAACAGACAACCAGACGCTGGCGCGTATCCGTCGGGCTAGACTGCAACCGCCTGAAGATGATGCCGGAGGCACCGGCGGCTTGTTAGCCGCGGATGAAATTGTCTTCGACACTACCGGTCGGGTGAATCAGGCAAAGGGAGAAGAAACCGTGGACGCCAACACCGGACTGACAGATACCGAATTACGCGAATTGTGGTTACGACGTGTCGCTACCCGACCTGCCGACTTTCTTCGTGCCCGATTCGCCGTGCAGTTTGCACGGCAATCAGAGACCAGCCAGTGAGCGCACGCTGGTTATTCATCTTTCTGCTGCTATACACAGTGCTGGCAAGCCCAGCCGATGCAGCTGAGCCAACAGAACCTCTCGACGCGCGAGTAAGAGCGGGACTTGAGACAACCGCTGACGTCTGGGTGGGTCAACAGATCGGACTGACTGTGGATATCCTCAGCCCGGGGTCTACTTTTTCCAAACAACGGATCTATCTGCCGGCGGTGGCAGGCGCGCTGATCCTGGAGGACGCGGTCACAACAATCTATTTGAACGAACGCATCGATGGTGAGACCTGGCAGGTGTTGCGCTACCGTTACCCGATGTTTGTACAACGTAGCGGTACGATAGAAGTCCCGCCTGTTGATGTCGCATTTGAAGTCTCTCCAGGTTTTGGCCAGGCGAACGTCGCCTTTGATCTGAATACGCAGAGCCTGTCACTGTCGGTGAACCAACCACCAGGAGTCACCAACTTACAGAATCTGGTGACCACCGCCCGATTCACGCTGAACGTCGACGTTACTCCGAACAAAACGGAACTGCAGGTGGGTGATGCAGTTACTCGCACTATTACTCGCACGGCCACCGGTGTTTCCGGCATGGCCTTCGCCCCGCTGCCTGAACATGAAATAGCCGGCGTCGCCGCCTACCCAGAGGCGCCCTTGATTGATGACAGCAGTAATCGTGGGGAACTGCGGGGCCAGCGCATAGACACCGCCACATTTGTGCTGCAGGCAGAGGGTGAAGTGGATCTGCCTGCCATTGATCTGCAGTGGTGGGATCCGCAGGCAGCACAGCTACATGTGGAAACTATCCCCGCGCTTAGCCTGACTGTGGCTGCTAACCCGGAACTGACGGCCACCCGAGACTTGGAACAGCAGACGCCATCGGGATTCTTGAAGTGGCTCTACCTGCTGGCGGCTGGGGTCGCAGGCGTGCTGGGGTGGCTTCTAAATCGCCACCTGCCCAGCCTGAAATCGCATCTGCGGCATCGCGCCCGGTTGCGTGCGCAGACTGAACCCGCCCGATTTAAACAGTTGCAGCAGGCATGCCGCAAAAACGATGCGTTGCTGGCTTACAATGCTTACTTACACTGGGCCTCTGCAGACCACGCGCCTGCTCAAGCGCTGTTGGCATCACCGCCGCTAAAAGCTGCACGTGAGAAAACCCAACAGGCGTTCATCACCGGTGACAATACATGGCGTGGTAAGGCGTTAGCAGATGCCACTCAGCAGGCGCGTCGAGCGCAACAAGGTGCAAACCACCGCAAAGCTGAACATGAGCTCGCAGCATTGAATCCGACGGAAGCCACTGGCATCTTCCCGTCATAGTTACAGGAGCAGACACAAGTTGAGAGAGCATCTGAAAAATGGTCCTTGCAGCATTCAGCGTATCCAGAGAACTTATCAACTGGTTGCAGTTATCTGCCTGACCTTCGCTGCCATGACCAGCAGCGCTAATGATCTGGTCTATTTTGGCAACGGTAGCGTCCTGATAGGCGAGCTCAAATACCTGGAGCGCGGTCGCCTGTTTTTCAAGACAGATGCAACCGGCACCATACCTATCGAATGGGAGGACGTTGAACGTCTAAGCAGTGATCAGCAATTGCGGCTGGAACTGGTCGACGGCAACCGCTACTTTGGTTCAATCGGTGCTACAGATGCAGGCCGCCGCGCGCTGGTTGATGCTCGTAGGGGCAAGCTCAGTGTCGATCTCAACCAGGTCGTTGGAATACAGCCTTTTGAAGAGGAATTCTGGGAGCGATTTTCAGGCAGCATCAGCGCGGGATACAACTTCACCAAAGCCAGCGACGTGGCTCAATTCAATTTTGGCGCCCGCGGCCAGTACCTGACAGAAAACTGGCGTTCCAATGTGGACCTTAATTCGATCATTACCGAAGACAGTGAAAATGAAACCACCAATCGCTCGTCACTCAATCTCACTACCCGCAGGCTGCGCGGCAAACACTGGGCCACCGGGGTATTCACCAGCTTCGAACGTAATGATGGTCAGGGCATCGACCTGCGCAGTTCCATTGGTGCGCAGCTGGAGCGTTACCTGAAAAACGAAAACTCACAACGCCTATCGTTGAGCGGCGGCCTGCTTTACAGCCATGAACGAATAACAGGGTCAAGCGATTCGAATGACAGCGTGGAAGCTTTGTTCAATGTCGCCTACGAAATATTTCGCTACGACTCACCAGAACTTGATCTGACCGCGCAATTCTCAGTGTTACCAAATCTGACCGACTGGGGGCGCGTGCGCAGCGAGTTCAATACCACACTGAAGTGGGAATTCTATGAAGATCTGTTCTGGCAGTTAACCTTCTACAACAGTTATGACAATCGGCCGCCCACCGAAGAAGCCACCAACAATGATTACGGTATCATTACGGGAGTCGAGTTAGATTTCTAAAGCTAACGTTCCGGGGAAGATATTAGCCACAGACCAATTGCGATTTAATCAGTGCTGAACCCGGCATGCAGACTTTTTCCCGCAGCGTCGTTTTCATCGTCTTACAGGCTTCGCCATCGATCATTAAACGCTTGTAGACACTCTCACCAATCAGCGATATACCGCCGGTTGCTACCGCTGCCCCATAACGCCACAGCAGACCTTTTGTGTTAGAAACAATCTCCGGTTTTGCAAGACTGCCCTCCAGTCGAACTGTATTCGAGAAAACATTGCCTACACTCAGGCCCGCACCCTTACGACTTCTTGAATCCAGCTGCGCCGAGATCGTTTCCTGTCTTAAATCAGCTTGCGCCTGAATAAGGACGTTGGCGACAGGCGTTTGCATGACAATAGTGGCGGGCGCGGCAAAGCTGCCACCCACCAGATGTGCGTAGCCTACCGCGCAATGCAGGTCAGGCGCCTTTTCAGTCGCAGGCAATAATTTGCCGAAAACACCCTGAACCAGATCACCGGTCAGCAGACCGCCGCCGAAGTCCGCAAAGCTTGCCGAGCCGGAACCCGCCTCTATATAAACATGACCCTTGAGGGAGCTTGCCAAAGTGCGCTCACTGTTTCCCTGCGCCGCCAGGTCAACAAATGCACTCATGGGTGCAACCCCTGGCAGTGGGTTAAGGCGCACATTTGCAAGTGACAGGGAAAGTCTGGCCAAAGCAGGCTGTTGGGTAGCATCATATGCCAGCGAGAAATCAAGCGCGCCGCCATTGGCCTGCGGGCTTTGCAGCTGCACATTAAGCTGACGGCCGCCTACACGGCCAAAGAAGGTGACGTGACGCGCCTCACCACGCCGGGACTTCACCCGATCAGCAGCAATTTTGATGTCCGCATCTACCGTATCCATGACCTCTAACGACCAGGGCTGGGCACTGAAATATCTACTACTCGTTGAATCAGTCGGGCGCGCTCTGGCGCCTATGGAGGAGCGGATTGAATCGGATAGAAAATTCAGCGCTCGCGCGGTTGTATTGGAAACAGAGCGGATCAAGCCAGCATCCGATACCTTGCCCGCTCCATCTGCTTGCGGCGGATGGAACGGAGTCAGATCTAAATAACCGGCGTTAAGGTCAGCACGCAATTCCGGCGGCTGCGTATCACGAAAGGTAGCCCTGCCTTGGAGATCGCTGTTGCGCCAGTAGAGATCAGCGATGTCTGCCTGCCATAGACCCCCGTCAAGCGCCCGCAGTTCTACATCAATGTCAAATTCGGGTCGCTGGTTTGTCGCCACGGGTAGTGCGGCCAGTTTCAGTCGCAGGCGTGAATCGTGAGAAAGCTCGGCCCAATCTCCACCCCGACCACGCAGCGCCAGGGTACCGGCAAGCGGCTTATCGAGGAGGTCTTTCATCTGGGACTGTGTCAGAGACGCCACCGTCAGGCCCTGGACCGCACCATCCATCTGGACATCAGCTGCACCATTGTAGGTCACCATGCTCGCCTGCCATTGCACAGCGCCAAACGGGCTGTTGAAGCTGGCATCCGCAATGTTCAGGCTTCCGGGCTGGGTCTCTAATCGCAAACTGGCGTTCGTCAGCGTTTGTGCTTCAAGCGTTAATTCTCCAAGCGCAATTTGCAGGTCAACAGTAGGCAGGCTCTGTAGGAGCGGTAACAGTGGCGTCGGATCAGGCTCAGCCTGGGATTCATCGGCAGAAACAATCAGCGTATCCAGATTGATCGATGATGTGTTGAGTTGCCCTGTCACCGCAAGCTCTGGCAGCGTCACCAACAATTCACCGAGGGTGCGCGTGGTCTTGCCCATTTGCATATCCAACTCAGACAGCGACAGGCTGGTTACCTGCCCTGCCGCCACACCAAAGGAAGGGATTGCTCTGAACTGGAGATCCTCAGATAAACGAGCCGATGAGAGTTCAACCATCAACTCACCCGCCAGGCTCGAAACAACAGAAGGCAGACCATCACCTCTGCCGGCCAGATTCAACTGCGCGGACGTCACGACCAGCGGAACGTCTGACCCCAGTTGTTGGAGATCAACGGCAGACAGTTTCAGATCCAGGTTTAACGCTGCTTCGTTACCCACGCGTTGTTCGCTGAGATTGAGCCGTATCCGACCTTGCAAACCCGTATTGAAAGACACGTCGATGTTTGCGCTGTCGGCTTGATTCTGAAAGCCAACTACAACGGTGTTGAAAGCCAGACCAGCCAACTGGATACGGTCACCGGCAAATTCAACATCCATGGGGAAATTCGAAGGTAACCCAATGCGTTCAGGCAGGTTGAACTCAAACGGGGCAGCAGCATCAGCACCCGTATCTCGACGTAAGACATCAAAGTTTAAATATTTGGCGTTGAGCCGCGCACTCAAAGCGCGCCGTGAATCATCCGTCCACAACGCGCCACTAATATCCGATTCGCCCACCTGCAGCTTCAACGCATCTGAACCCAGCAAGCCAAGTTCGCTGTCAAACTCTGCGCTCAGGCGCATCGGCAAAGCTTCGGCGCCATGGTAAAGGCCAGCTGCTGCCAACGAACCACGGGCATTTTCCAACAGTTCGATGGGCTTTCCGCCCCGGGTAGTCAGGTCCACGTGACCACTGTGCCAGTACAACAGTGCATCTTTGGCAATCGCATCAGACTCTGCCTGACTTACCGCAGCTAGATCAGCCGCAATATCCCACTGTCTGCCGAACACAAACGCAAGATCGCCTTTGAGATCAGCACCCGCAAGGTCTGCGTTGAGATCATGAAATTGTATGCCTGCAGGCGAGCCGGTATCGCCAGCCCGAGTGACAATCCGGGTGGTCAGATCACGGACGGAGTCGCTGCCTATGAGCAGCTCATCTACCCGCACGTGAGCCTGATGCGCTGGCAGCGACACCTGCGGCAAAGACACCTGCAGCCAGTCTTGTGATGAGTTCGCTGGCTGCACCGTACCCTTTTCAGTCACGTCAGCTGTCAACTCAACAATCAGAGCCTGAATACGATTCACATCCAACCGCTTCAGCCGCAGATCACTGTGTTCCGGCCATTCCAGTAAATCGGCAACCTCATAAGACCAGGACCCTGTAACAGCCAAACCTTCAAGCTGGAAAACGTAGGCCACACCCGCAGCTTCCGCTGGCGTAATGGATACGTCAGCGGTCAGCAGATCTTCTACCTGACCCGCTTGTGCTATCTCAATCTGAATGTGCCCGCGCTTGTGCCGCAACACGTCAAAAAGCGGAGAGAATTGCAGGCTCACTGAGAGCTGAGCGCTGAGTCCTGCCTGGACCCAGTTCAAAGTCTGTAAATCACCCTCTCGCCGCAGAAAAAGATTGTCCCGGGTCTTTGCAACAGGACGCTCTGCCTGATAAACCTCCAGGGCGGTGATGTAAACCCGCTCGGGCAGCCAGGATTCAATAAGTTGCACATCCATAGGCTCATCGCTGTTGTCACCCTGCCACTGATCAAGATCCACGTGAAGAACATCCGCACCCGCTGAGGTTATGCGCAGCTGTCCCTGCAGCAATGCCGCAGCATCAAAGGCCAGCGAGAAGTTTTCACAGAGAAGTGCGGGTGTCTCATCAGAGCCCACTATAAGCCTGGACACATTTGCCTGCAGGGACAACCAGCTGAGAGAAACGTTATCGACTATTACTGGTTGATCAGTCAGCCCCTCCAACACGTCAGGCAGGACATGTTCGAGGATGCGCGGCATCAGCAATGCCATAACAACGAGCAGTATGACTATGCATGCAACCGCTCCGATCAAGAACCTCTGCCAACGCAAAGTACCCGCCCCCTCGATGAATTTTCAACAGCCTGTCCGCCGACAGATCCCCTGCCTGACAGACTCGGCAGAACTGAATTATGGCACCATTTTCAGGAAAGAATCTGCTATCGTGACTGCCCGTCGGGAACCCCATTCTCATGCGACACCTTAGTACACAGATCAGAACAATGCGGGTGATAATGCCGTCCGTCAGCCACCACACCCTATCCAAATGAATTTTGATATCACCTTCAATATGACCTTCTGGGGCTCTCTACTGGTCATGTGTGCGCTGTCTTTTGTGCACCTGACAATACACCGCTGGCGCTTTCTGCATGGTCCTGCAGCAAAACATTGGTTGAGCATTTCAGCAGGCACGGCACTGGCATACGTCTTTGCTTATCTGATGCCGAAGCTGGCAACTATTCAGGGTAAGCTTGCGCCAACGGCAGATGTCTCTGTAGGTTTCCTGCGGCAACATGCCTATTTACTGGCACTCGCCGGACTGCTGACCTACTTCGGGCTTAACCGTATAACCGCTGCGGGTCCGTCACAGGTGACAGACGAAAGAGTCTTCCATAATAGAGTGGTCCTCCTGCAGCTGATCGGCTACTGCCTTTACAGCGCGCAGTTAGGGTATCTGGTCACAGAGCTTGCGCAGCCTGGGTTTGCTTCCTACACACTGGTCACGGTGATACTTTGCTTCCACCTGATGGGCATTAATCACCATCTGCATCACACGTACCCTGTTGCGTATTTAGGTTTACTCAGATATGCCTACACCGCCGCCCTGTTCTGCGGCTGGCTGGCAGGTGTGATGACGGCAAATGTGGGTCTGTTTATCATGCTGACAACAACGTTTGTTGCGGGCGGTATTATCATTACTGCCCTGCGCGAAGAGTTACCCAAAGATGGCGAGACTCATTCCATTGCGTTTTACATTTCCGTGGTGCTATCAAGCGCTGCCATCCTAGCCGCGCAGAGTCTGCAGCAGGCTTAGGGGATCAGCCGCAAAAATAACTACCGTCCGCCTGAGTGCCTTGCCTGAAAAGTCTTGCGCAGGGCATCCTGGAATGTGGTGATCAATGCCGCCGTCGACACGCCAATCATCAGCACACCGTTAATCGCTTCCAGCGGTCCGAGCAATCTGTATCGCTCGGACATGACAATATCGCCATAACCTAAGGTCGCAAAATTCACCGCGGAGTGATAAACCGCCTCACTGAGCGTTGTAAACTCGCCAAGGAACTGAAACACCAGCGCCCAGATAAAAAGCTGGCCGAGGTTACCCAGGACTAACAGGATCATTATGACGCTGATCACCACCAGCGTAGTCCATCCGGACGGGCTGTTCACCATGCTTTCGTGACTGGTGTAGTGGCGTAGCGCTGCGGTCATCAGTAAAGCCTGCAGCAGTAAACAAACCGTCATGGTCAACAGGCCGATCAAAAGATTTTCGAGCATCAGATTACCTTAGGCGTTCCTGAGAAATTGTCTTTGGCGCTGCGGACGCAGGCGCAACCATTCCAGCGCAACAATTGCGAGCCATGCGTAGAGGGTCACAGCTATGAACAAGCCCAGACGCACAGCAAAAGCCTGATAGACATCCTTGCCATTGGCGCTGTCCTCTACCGCGGGACCCAGCAGGATCAGCATTGTTACCACAACATTCTGCCAGAAAGCAGGCGTGTATTGACTGAACAGCGCGCCGTAGAATTTTGCCGCTCCATAACCCGCAAACAGCAACATCCACAGCGTGAAAAACCACAACGTGGGACTGATCTGTAATGCAAACCAGAACGCGATTGCAAAGCAACCGGCAACAATGGTGGAGCCGAGTAATTCGCGCCCAGCGACCCGGGCACTGATTTCCGTACCCTGCTGCGCCAGAAACAGACCTTTGAGAATGGTGGCCAGGTATAAAGCAGGATTGGTGAACGCAAGCATGACCGGCAGTAACACAATTAAAGTGGCACGCAAAGCAAGCCAGCGTGCATGTTCGCTGGCTACCGGCACAATCGGCTTAGCCGTACCAGGGTCTTCTGGAAAGAAGGGATAAACCAACCACTGAGAGACCATCGCTATACTGATGCCGAGCAGGAGCGCCTGTATTACAGCGGTGGCCAGGCTGTAATCGACCATGCCCGCAGCAGGAATCATGGTCAGCCCAGCTGCCAGCAATACGCCAACCGGGCCTTTGCCTTTCTCAAGGCTGATGATGCTGCTGAGATAAAGGCCCACTGCGATGATCAATACCGCCGTCACCGGATAATTGAGCAACAGCGGGATCATCAGCAGGCCTGTGCTTAAGGTTGCCGCTACCGCAACAACCAGACCCACGAGCCCTTTCAACCCGGGCGGTGGTGCAGGGTTAGCGGTAAGCATAAACGCCATAAGCGGTGCCAGATAAGGCAGCGGCATGCCAATGCCATAAGCAACTGCCGTTGCCAGCGCAACCACGCCGGCAATTCGACAGGTTCGCCTTGCAGCGACAGGCATCATGAGCCGTGACCTGCGTCAGTACGCAAAGGACAGCCAGCTTGCGATTCTGATATAAGCTTTACCCAGCCCGCCGAGCAACCCATGGCCTTCGCTGTAAGCCATGACTGAAGCTTGCCCGCCAAGACGCAGCTGACGTCGCAAACTGGGATGTTGTTCAGGGTCGAAACCAATGATCACCGGGAAACGTTGTGATTGGCGCAACCAGTCGCGGTCGTTCTGCACCGTTGGCAACGTTCCGGGTTGTGGCTCCCGGCCAGCACTGACACCAAGGCCAACACTACGAATCTGGCCACGAAACACTTCGCCGGGTAAGACATCGAATAAAATCTCCACCGGCGTACCAACGCCGATGTTACCCAGGTTGTTTTCGGTAAATTCAGCGTTAATCCACACGTCATGTATTGCCACTAAGGTGAGCACCGGAGTGCCGGTGCCTGCAAACTGCCCCACCTCGGCACGCAGATTAGTGATAATGCCATCGGTTGAGGCCTGCACCACGGTGTTTGCCAGATCCAACTGTGCTTTCTCAACACCAACCAGGGCAGTTTTAAGCAGCGTATTATTATCGTCATCACCACCCATGGATTCGATGGCCCGCCTGATATCAGCTTCCGCCGCGGTGACTTGAGCATCCGCCTGTTCAAGACTGGCCTGAGATATCTCCAGCCGACGCACGGAGATCGTGCCCGGATCTTCTTCATAAAGACGCGTGAGTCTGTTCAGATCCTGTCGGGCTTTGAGTGCATTCGCTTCGGCAGCTCTGAGTTTGGCCCGTGCAGCTGCCACCGAAGCGTTACCTGCGCTGACCTGACGGCCCGTATTCTCAAGATCGGAACGCGCCCGGTCGAGGGCAATCTGGTATTGCGATGGGTCAATCTCAAACAGACGGTCGCCTTCGCGTACCTGGGCGTTATTACTGACCCAGACTTGTGTCACAAGCCCTGCCACTTTTGGCGCAACCCCAACCACATAACCCTCAACCCGTGCCTGGGTGGTGTACGGGGTGAAACGATCTGCCGCCAGATACCAAAGCAGACTGAGCAAAATGACAATCGCCACCCCAGCGCCGCCGCGTTTTACAGCAGTACCCGCGTCACCACCACCTTCTTGTGGCGCAGCCACCTGCTCGCTCTGTGCGACAACAGTCTCTACCGGGGCGGTGTCTTTGTTTTCAATAGGTCGGTCAGTCATAACTTCACTCGTCTAATCATTCACCGCGACGTCGGCAGCTCAGCATCCGGTCCAGCGTCAGGTGCGGGTAATTGCGCATCCAGCAACTCACCCCATTTGGTACGCTCACGCATCTGTTGCCGAGTCGACTCGGGTATTAATGTGTCAATGGGCATGTCAACCCAACCACCACCGAACGCTTTGTATAACTGGGTGATCGCGTTCAGGTGTGCTCCGCGCACAACCAGGTATCGGTCGGCCTGTGAGAACAGCGCGCGCTGTGCATCAAGAACCCGCTGGAAGTCGGCATAACCTTCTTGGTAGCGGGTGCTGGCAAGCTCCAACGAACGCTCCGCTGCCTGCAATGCCTGTTTGAGTATTATCTCCTGCTCCGCAGTCTTGACCACTTTAATGGCAGCATCGTCAATCTCCCGGGCTGCCAGCAGCACAGAGTTCTGAAAGGATTCGATGGTCTGTTGTAACCTCGCGTCCTGCAGGCGCACGTTGTTACGGATACGACCATAGTCAAACACGTTCCAGGTCAACGATGGCCCAACAGCCAGTTGGGTGGTATCTGCGGTAGCGCTGAGCGAGTCACCTGACCAGCCGATGCTACCGAACAGTGAAATAGCCGGATAATAGTCAGCTTTTGCAACACCGATCTGTGCAGACTGAGCCGCCACCTGCCAGGCAGCATTGCGGATGTCCGGGCGCCTTAATAACATTTGTGCCGGTATTTCGCTGATCGAAAGTGCAGCGGTATCGGGTAGTGCCTGCACCATACCCGCCAGTTCCGCTATCTCTCCCGGCGGTCTTCCCAGCAACACCGATAAAGCGTTACGCACCTGGATAAGTGCTGATTCCAGCTCCGGTATCGTAGACAGTGTTGCCAGCTGTTGGGTTTTCGCCTGCTGCAGATCCAGCTCAGAACCCTGGCCTGCGGTGAAAAGTTTCTGTGTGATGGTGAAACTGCGCTCCTGGCGCGCGGCATTGTTGCGTGCAATCTCTATGCGTTGCGCAATGGTCAGATAGTTAAAGTACAACTCGGCAACCTGTGCACTGAGCAACACCTGCAGATCATGGTGCGACGTTATTGAAGCCAGGAATACCGCATCCGCAGCTTCAATACTGCGCTGGAAACGTCCCCAGAAATCCAGTTCCCAACCCACACGAAAATCCGTTTGATACGCAGTGAGACTCTGACTGCGGTCCTCAACTATGCCACCACTTTTATCGGAGTTAACGCCGGTGACAGTTGCCCCAATCTGCTGAAGCTGGGGATAGCGTGTACTACCGGCAATACCCAGGGCAGCACGACTCTCAAGTATTCTCAAGCCTGCAATATGCATCGTTGGATTGTCGCGACGTGCTACTGCAATGAGCTGATTTAACGTCGGATCATCAAAAAGCTGCCACCAGAAACGCAGGTCCAACCTGTTTTGCTGGTCTGTGTTGTCTATCTGTCCATACAGATCGGTCTGCCAGTCGCTGAGCCAGGCTACTTCGGGCTCTTCATAGTCTGGACCCAGAGTTGTGCAGGCGGCTGCCAGCAGAAGCAGCGGCAGGAACAGGCCCTGCCGGATTGATCTTGGCTCATTCAACGTAACGTCCGACTCTGATCAGCCCGGTTCACCCGTTGCCTTACTGGACGATTGCGCAGGTTCAGTCTCGGCGGATGCGCCATCCACCCAGCCCATGAAAACAACATATCCGACCGCCAGCACTACCGGTCCGGTAAACAGACCAATCATGCCGAAGGACACCATACCGCCCAGGGCACCGATCAGAATGACCGGCATGGGTGCTTCCACACCACGGCCGAGCAATATGGGTTTAAGTACATTGTCAGCCAGCGTGGCGATCACCAGATAAATCGTCAGCAGCACGTTGATCAGGGTGCCGTCGTCGCCACCTGCCCACCACAGGTAAGCGATCGCAGGAATGGACACCACCAATGCAGGCACCTGCAGAATGCCTAAAAACAACGCTATCAACGCCAGCACGCCAGGGGCAGGAATGCCCGCTAACATGAATCCAATACCCAGGAGTAACGCTTGAATGAACGCAACACCCACCACACCGGTGGCTACTGAACGAATGGTGGCCGTAGACAGCGTCTGCAGTCGCGGACCGCGATCAGGTCCGGACAGACGGGAGAATATCCGCCGCATAGCGGCACTGCCCGACTCACCGAACGCCATTATGATCCCCGCAACTATCAGTGAACCAAGAAACGCCAGAATGGCGCCCACAGTACCGGCAGCCGTTGCAACCGCCCAGCGGGACAGGTCACGAATTTTAGTGTGATTGGTTTCAACAAATCCCTGCAGATCCTCAGCGGCAGAATCCCAGCCAGCATAGAGCCGCTCACCGACGACCGGCCAATTCTGAACCCCCTCTGAGGGCACAGGTACCTTGAGGGTGCCACTTTCTATATCGGTATACAGCTGATTGGCCTGGCCAGCGAGAGAGCCACCCAGAATGACCGTGGGTGCGCCCAACAGCAGCAAACCACTGATGACCATTACCGTGGCCGCCAGACCCTGGCGACCGCCCATGCGAGCCGCCAAACTGCGATGCAGAGGATAAAGGGCTACTGCCAGGATCAACCCCAGACCAGCAACGCTGGCAAATGGCGCAAAGACCTGAGCGCATAAAACCAGGATCACCGCAATCAGACCGAAGCGGATCAAACCTTCTACAATATGGGACGAATCGGGTTCTGCAGGTGATGTATCGGATTGCGGCATTCTTGGGTCCTTGTCATTTTCTCGGCGTAGCTTTAGCGGCGAATTAAACCACAATAACCGGCGATTTTGATCCCATGATCACTACCCCGCCGCTTGACAGTTTACCCGCCGGAACTAACCGACATATGACCCACATTCACGCAATAATGCGGACCGGCATCTTTGCATAGCCATTGACAAAGTTGGACTCGACACGCTCAACTTCACCAACAATTTCAATACGCTGCCAGCGCTTGAGAATTTCTTCCCACAGAATCCGCATCTGCATTTCAGCAAGGCGCATGCCCAGACAACGATGCAGGCCAAAGCCAAAGGATATAGTGCTGCGCGCATTCTCGCGGGTGATGTCGAAGGTATCTGCATTGGCAAATACTGACTCATCGCGATTGCCCGAGTAATACCACATCACAACCTTGTCGCCTTTTTTCACCGGCTGTGCGCCAATATTGGTATCCACTACCGCAGTGCGGCGCATGTGTGACAAAGGCGTCTGCCAGCGCACAACTTCAGACACCATGTTATTGATCAGTTCCGGGCGTGCGCGAAGCAATTCCAGTTGTTCCGGGTATTGATTGAAGGCATTGATACTCGCGCTCATGGTATTTCGTGTGGTGTCGTTGCCACCCACAATCAGCAGCATCAGGTTACCCAGAAACTGAGAATCGGGTTGATCCGCGGTCACCGCATCCTGCGCCAGCATGGTCACTAAATCAAAGTTAGGTGGCCCGTCTCTGCGCGCCTCTTTAAGGCGCTTGAAATAGGTTAAACACTCCATCAGTTCCGCTATACGCTGTTCCTGACTGCCGACAATGGGCGAGTCCGCTTCTGCAGTAGTGACATCAGACCAACGCGTCAGCAGACGGCGGTCTTCAAACGGAAAGTCGAACAGAGACGCCAGCATCATGGTGGTCAGCTCAATGGAGACGCTGTCTACCCAATCAAATTCTTCACCCACCGGCAGTGAGTCGAGTAAGGTCTGGGTACGCTCCCGGATAAGCCCTTCAAAACTGGCCAGACTCCCCGGCGCGACAATTTTACTCACCGCTTTACGCTGCGGACCATGCTCAGGCGGATCCATGGTGATAAAGCTCTGTACAAAGAAATCACCGTTCACATCACCAACAATGTCGTCATCAATCATGATGCCGCCATAGTGGGCGTCTGATGAAAATTCCTGATGATTCTTGTCCACCGCCATGATGTCTTTGTAGCGGGTCACCGACCAGAATGGACCGTAAGGGCTGTCTTTGCAGTAATGTACGGGCTGCTCTGCACGCATCTGCTTGAAAAAAGGCAGGATGCGTTCTTCGCTGAAAAGTTTTGGATCTGCTGGGTTCAAGTCCGCCAGGGACTCGTTTTCAGGCACTTGTATCGACTCGCTCATAACCCCGTTCTCCCAATCGAATTTATAGCCTGATAGAACCTAACACTTTTGTCTTGTTGATCCTAATAACGGTAGATATTTTTCTTGCCACAAAACATACCGATGTGGGTGCAGCAGGTCTGCTGCTGCACTCAATCCAGCACAATAAGCTTTACATCCACCTGCAAAGTTGCCTGAGCGTTACCGGCATAGCTGCCGGCCACCGGCGGTACGGTTTCAGGATGCCGGGCAACAGCCACCGCAATATGGTCACTGCCTACCCTGGTGCCCGTGGTTGAATCAAAACCACACCAGCCTGCGCCAGGCAAATACACTTCTGCCCACGCATGTGTCGACGCCGATGCATCAGGAAGATCAGGCGCATAGAGGTAGCCGCTCACAAAACGAGCGGCAAAACCCAGATGACGACAACCTTCTAAGAAAAGTGTGGCGAGATCCCGGCAGGAGCCGGTACCGGAGGACAGCGTCTCGAAGGGGCGCTGCACACCAAATTCTTCCCGAACGTTGTAGGTGATCTGATAGTTCACGGCTTTGTTTATTCGATCGATGAGTTCAAACGTATTCGGAGATTGCCCACCTACCCAGAACGATTTCACCCAGCCCCTGACTTCTTCGTCGGCCTGGGTAAATACGGGTTGCATGTACGGAAACAGTTCCGCCCTCTCCATCGCATCGTACTGGAAGGGGTAAGTCAGCGCGTCGATATCCAGTTCCACAATGGTCTGGTCATCGTCGTAGTGTTCAATGACAACTTCACTACTGATTTTGAGGTGATCACCCAGCCCTGAAAAGGTGGCAATGGCAACGGAATTACTCTGAGCATCACGATGCCAGAACAGTCTGTTTACGTTGGGGCTGACGTCCAACCTGGACGACTCAATCCTGATGTCGTGGCCGACACGAGGTCGCAGCAGCATTTTGTGCGCACCAAATGCCACGGGCGCTGAGTATTTATAAGTGGTTGTGTGTGCAATCTTTAATCTACGCATGGCGAGCCAGACTCTTTCCTTCGGCGTTTAACTCTAGAGGACTTGAACTGAAATAGATGCAGGTTTTACATATACTGTTGCGTAACCTGCCACCAACGATTCCAACATGAAATCTGACGTCGACAAACTTCTGCAGAAAAACGAGCAGCTTAATCAACTGGATCTGGTAAAGGTTGTCAGCCACGTGCAGCGGGAAATTGAGGATGGCGATTGGGTCCTGAACACCCTCATGCTTGAAGGTTACGACGTTCCGTTCAAGTATAAACGCCAGAAAAAATATCGAAGCCTGCAGGGTGCACCGGTCAACATCACTTACTACCCGCAGATTGAACAGGTTGCGGGTATGGATATCGAAGTGATGAAGGTTGTGCGCATCCGCAGGAGCTGACGGACCTGAACCTCCTGATAAACGATACCATCAGATATGTCTGACTACGATGTCATCATCCTCGGAGCAGGTGCCGCCGGGCTGATGTGCGCCTTCACCGCAGCCCAACGGGGACGCCGCGTTCTGGTGCTGGAGAAGTCCAACAAGGTTGGCAAAAAAATTCTCATGTCCGGTGGCGGCCGCTGTAACTTCACCAATTACTATGTCACTGCCGACAACTTCATCTGCAGCAATCCACATTTTGTCAAAGCGGCTCTGCAACGGTATACCGCATGGGATTTCATTCACCTTGTGGAGTCCCACCGCATCCCCTACGAGGAGCGCCAACACGGTCAGCTGTTCTGCCTCAATTCAGCCAAAGATATTGTCAAACTGCTGCTGGATGAATGCCAGAAAGTTGGTGTTGAAGTGCTCACCCACTGCAGCGTGTCAAAGTTAGAGGCTGCCGCACAAGGCAGAGGTTATGACATCACCTTCAGTCGCGCTGACGCCGTGCATTCTTATCATTCCGATTCGCTTGTGGTTGCAACCGGCGCTTTGTCTATACCGACTCTGGGCGGCAGTGATTTCGGATACAGGCTTGCACGTCAATTTGGTCTGGACCTGGTTGAACGACGGGCAGGACTGGTACCGCTGATGTTCAATGATGCTGCTAAAGATCTATGCGAACGCTTATCAGGACTGGCGCTCGAGGTGGAAGTCACCTGCAATGGCCAGGCCTTTACTGAAAATATGCTGTTCACTCATCGTGGGTTAAGCGGACCGTCGATCCTGCAGATATCAAACTACTGGCATCCGGGTGAGATCGTACTGGTTAACCTGTTACCGGACGTGGACGCAACGCAATGGTTGCTGGCAGCAAAAAACTCTCAGCCCGCAACTCACCTGAAGACCGTGCTGGGCCACGCGCTCGCCAAGTCCCTTGTGACAGAACTGATCATGCTGTTCTGGCCTGAGCTGGACGGCAGGCGCCTGGATAATATTGCGGACGCCCAGTTACGTCGTGTTGCAGAACAACTGCAGCATTGGTCCTGGAAACCGGCGGCCAGTGAGGGGTATCGAACGGCAGAGGTCACATTAGGCGGCGTTTCAACTGACGCCATCAGTTCCAAGACCATGGAAGCGCGTCAGCACCCTGGCCTGTTTTTTATCGGCGAAGTGCTGGATGTGAGCGGTCATCTTGGCGGCTTCAACTTCCAGTGGGCCTGGTCATCCGGATACAGCGCAGGGATTGCAGCCTAGATCGTCGTGTTAGATTAGGGTAAAAATCTGTTTTAACTGGAAACGATCAAACAGATTTAGATTCCACACAGACAACCACATCAGTTAAGGATCGATTATGAGGCCACTTGAAGGCATTACTGTCCTGGAATTTTCCACCATGATCACCGCTTCCTTTGCAGCCATGCAAATGTGCGAGCAAGGCGCCCGTGTGATTAAAGTTGAACCCCTGAATGCCGGTGATCCGCTTCGTTATATCGGCGCATCCAAGGGTGGCATCTCCTCATTGTTTGCCAACTGTAATCGCGGTAAAGAAGCGATTCGCGTCGACATCACAACAGACGCCGGCCAGGCATTGATCCGCGACATGGTCCCCACTGTGGACGTGGTGATTCATAACTTCAGACCAGGTGTGATGGACAAACACGGTTTAGGCAGCGAGGCGCTGCGCGCGCTGAACCCGCGATTGATCTATACCGCCATTTCAGGCTTCGGTATCACCGGCCCAAAGAGCAATTCACCAGCGTACGACCCCATTATTCAGGCACAATCCGGCATTACCGCAACCCAGGGTAAAGTTGAACCGGCATTCTTTCGCTCTCTGATATGCGACAAGATCACCGCATACACGGCTTGTCAGGCGGTAACCAGCGCCCTGTATCAACGTGAAAAAACTGGAGAAGGTCAACACATAGACTTATCCATGTTAGACGCCGCTTTGTTTTTTATCTTCCCCGACGGATTCCAGAACCACACTTTGCTGGATGAAGATGTTGCGCCGCAGCCTATGCTCATCGACATTCTGTATGAGTTAAACATCACAAAAGACAGCGCCGTGACCATCTCCGCGGGTACCGCAGACCAACAGATGCGCTCACTCATTGCCATGGGTATGGAGCACCTGCTGGTCGATGAACGTTTTAACAGCATGGAGAAGCTGCTGGCCAACATTGATGTGTTCAAATCACTGGTTGCAGATGAGTATCTGAAGTACACCACCGACGAGGTGATCGCAAAAATGGAAGCAGCGGATGTCCCTTGTGCCCGCTGTCTCGATCGGGACGAGGTTCTGGCCCAGGCGCAACTGCAGGCGAACGGCTCCGTTGAGGTGATTGATCACCCGTTGATGGGGTCTATGCGAATTGTCAAAGCACCGCCACGCTTTGGTGGCAAGGTACTCGAACCGGGCGCGCCCAGCCCGGACCACGGCCAGCATACCCGAGAGGTACTAGCGTCCTTCGCGGTAGACGATGACCGCATCGAGAAAATGTTTGGTGATGGCGTGGTCAGTTAGCTGCGAATCAGCCGCCCGGGTCTTGCGCCGGTGTCGACGTCATCCAGGCGCGTTGGCACCCCGTTGATCAGTGTCGCCACGTAGCCTTTTGCGTCCTGCAGGATTCGGATGCCACCAGCCGGTAGGTCTTTTGCGATGCGCAAATCACCTAGGCGTAGATTCGGATAATCAATGACATTAATGTCCGCCTTCATACCGGGTTTGATCAAACCACGGTCAGTAAAGCCGAAGAGTTCAGCATTTTTCCGGGTCGCGCGATGAATAACGTGCGCCAGTGGTAACGTTGCGCCGCGACTGCGGTCACGCGTCCAATAGCTCAATTGATAGGTTGGATTCACCGCATCAAAAATCAGAGAAACATGTGCCCCGGCATCGGACAACCCGGTGACTGTGGCATCATCCATCTGCATCTCACGCACTGCATCCAGGTTGTAGTCTGAATAGTTGGTGAAAAACACAATGACCATATTGTTTTCATCTTCAGTCAGATAGTCGTACAACCACGCTTCCGGTGTCTGATTGGTACTACCCGCCAGCGCCGCCACACTTTCTTCCTGCCGCGGTTCATACGTACTGTCGCTTTTCAGAATGAAGGTGTTCGCCATGTTCAATTCAGCGTGACAGATACCAAATTCCATGGAGCCAACAGGAACGCCTGTGATGTCATTCTCCTCGCGCAGGATTGCGTTTTTTATATCCGGATTCTGCATGGCCTTGATACGTTCGTTGGCAGGCAGAGATTTCAGCTTCTGGTAAGACGGTTTCAACATCCAGTTGTGGTAGGTCTGCATGCTCAGTACCAGACCTGTGGGCCTGCTGCCCACTTGCGGAAACACCTGCGCGCCGTCTGCATTGCCCGCTTTGACCCGGTCGATGGCTTCTCGCCATTTATCCGACCAGTCATCAATCTGGAAAAGTGTAAAGGTGGCCGGCCTGCCACTTTGTTTACTGACCCGACTGATCAGGTCAATTTCCTGCTCCAGCGAGGTATGTTCACTGAACTCCGGGCGCCCCGGGCCTAACGTGCTGGATGGAATAATCTGAAACAGACCTTTACCTGCGCGTTTAAGCGCCTGGGCGATGACCATCACCTCAGCATCGTTGGCAAAGGTGCCAGGAACAGGCTCGCCTTGAATTGAGCGGTGCCCGAGAATGCGGGAAGTTGAAAAGCCAACAGCGCCGGCGCGCAGAGCTTCTTCAACAATATCACCCATTTGGGCAAGGTCGCCTTCCGTAGCCGCCTCGTTAGTGCGGCCTCTTTCCCCCATCACATAATTACGCACGGCGCCATGCGCCACCAGCGAAGAGATATTGAGGGCATATTCCCGGCCGCTGAGAAAATCGAGGTATTCAGGATAGGTTTGCCAGGCGCCCCAGGGCATGCCCTCATACAAGGCCGTGCCGGGGATATCTTCCACCCCTTCCATCAGTTCAATCAGTGCTTGCTGGCCATCCGGAGCCACCGGCGCAAAACCTACCCCACAGTTACCCATGACGATGGTACCCACACCGTGACTGGCAGATGGGTTCATATCTGTATCCCAGGTCACCTGACCATCATAGTGAGTATGAATGTCCACCCAGGCAGGTGTCACGATGGCGCCATCTGCATCAATTTTGCGGTTCGCCTTACCTGCTGCCGCGTCACCCACGGCGGTAATAATGCCGTCTGTTACCGCAACGTCTGCGTGATAAGCGTCACCGCCGCTGCCGTCATATATCAGTCCGTTTTTGATCAGAATGTCGTGCATCATCAGTGTCCTGCTAATTCAACGTAAACGAGCGCCGTTCGACGGCATGCGCTTCAATCTTAGGGCAAGCGGAAGTGCACTGGCAATAACACTCCGGCATTACGTTACACTTGCCCAGACTCAACCGTGAGGTGCGTGATGGCTGACACAATAACAGGACCCTGGCGTCGCCCCAGAAACACATCAGCAAATGAAAAGGGTGGCATCCACGACGATGACACCGCTCAGAACCTGGGCTTTCAGGGCGGCACTATCGCCGGCTCCATTCATATGGAGCAGTTTCCACCGTTATTGGTCGATTACTTCGGCGATGCCTGGTGGTCCAGTGGTGGCATGTCACTCTATTTCAAAGCGGCAACCATCAATCACGAACCGGTGCGTTGCAGCCTTGAAGCCATGACCCCGTCAAAGGCACGCATCTGGATGGAGAACGAAGCAGGCACGATGGTCATGGAAGGGACCGCGTCATTAGGAGAAGACCCTGACTCTGAAGTCAGCAAGCGCGTAGCGGCCGCCCGTGCGCCCAGTGACCTGCGCATGATGCAGGATGTGGTTGTGGGTGCGCCGTCGCCAGATTGCCCTGTCTCTATCAGCATCGAGAGCATTGATGCGCGTCTCGCCGTGATTACCGAACCTATGGCGTGTTACAAAGACGCCAGCTTTTATGGCGGCATAGTTGCCCCGGTTGCACCTTTTGTGCATGCCTTCAGAGCCGTTGAGCCGCACATAATTCCCGTTAGAGGTCCGTATGTGGGTTTGTTTGGATCTATCGAACTTCAGTACCTCAACGGACCAGTGGTTACAGGCCACGATTATGTTGCCCAGGGGCATGTGGTTGCGCTGTCTGACAGTCCTAAAACTGAAATTGTCTGGTATACCGCCACTTTGAATGACGCCTCCTCCGGTGTACCGGTAGCGCGCATGACAAAAATGGATCGGTTGATGAAAGACGCTTCACCTCTTTGGACAGCGTCCCAGTCTTAGACACATGTGCGATCTCTAAAGGGCATGATGAGGTTGCCGCCTGCCAATAGACTGCCTCCGCACTGGTGAGTCTAATCTGAGAACACTGTTATCCTCGGGCGTTCGCTGGCATGCTAAGCGTTGTACATAAACGTCTGAAAACACCAGACTTTCATATCAACTGAGGATATTACATTGCTCAAACTGCACGGATTTTCTTCCAGCAACTACTACAACGTACCCAAACTAGCCCTTCTGGAAAAAGGCATTGCATTTGAGGAGGTCCTGTCTTACACCGGCGTGGGACCGAAGTACAAACCCGAATATCTCGACAAGAGCCCGCTGGGCAAAGTCCCGGCAATTGAAACAGAAGAAGGATTCATCAGTGAATCCCGCGCGATTCTGGAATATATCGAACGTGCTTATCCAACACCCTCACTGCTGCCTGATTCAGCCTTTGGCATCGGTAAAGTCCAGGAGCTGTCGCAGTTCATCGAACTTTACTTCGAACTGGTGGCGCGCCGCCTGATCCCCAACCTGCTTGGCGGTACGCAACCCGACCCTGCGGTATTAAAAGAATTCGAGACCAGCATCAACAAAGCGGCACCCGCACTGGCCAGGCTTTCAGACTTCAAACAGTTTGCCTACGGCGACCAGTTCACACTGGCCGACATCGCAGCCATTCTTAATCTGCCCGTTGTACGCAGCGTTGGTAAAAAGTTTCTGGGTAAAGATCCGTTATCTGATGTACCCGGACTGGATAACTATTGCGAACGCATGGAACAGCGGCCGCATGTGAAGACAATTCGCGCTGATGCAGCTGCAGATCAACCGGGCTTCATGGCGCACCTGAAGGCGCTTTACGGTATCTGATCAGTGGAACTAAATTGCGGGAGTTTTTTAGATGACAACAAGCACTGTGCCTGACGAATTCAATGCAGAATTCATAAAAGAAAAATCTGCACCAGACATGCAGATGTATCGAGCGGAAGTATCCACCTCCGAGCCGATGAAATCAGTGCTTGAAAACAATCCCGACATTTATTTTGTACCTCCCCAGCGAAGTGCCGACTGGGGTAACTGGGCGTTCAAGCCGGGTTCGTACTACGACACCACAACAGGTGCAAAGCATCCTTACTGGCAGGATCACAACCTGCCCCAGGCCACAAAAGACATCGAGCAGCTACGCCAGGATATGGTGCAGTGGGGTTACTGCAAAATAGAAGATGCTTTGTCGGCAGAGCAGGTTGAACGCATGCGGGTTCGCGTGCTTGAGCAGGCAGAAGGCGAACGCCTCGCCGGCATTGCGCAGAGGACCCCCAGTGGTCAGAACATCAACTGCTGTGTCAACAAAGGTCGTTGTTTCGAGCTGTTCATCGAACAACACCACAGTGCCATTCAAGGTGGCCCGTTGATTGAGCAACTCGTCACTGAAGCGCTGGGGCCTGGCTGGGTCTGCACCTCTCTGATTGCCGCTATTTCGCTAAAGGGTGGCGTCCCCCAGGCACTGCATCAGGACCAGAGCAACGCCCTCGATTCTCAAAGCCCCATGACCATTAACCTGCTCACCGCGATCACGGATGTTGATGAAAGCAATGGTGGCACGCTGCTTATTCCTGGCAGTCATGTGACCCTCTCCCAGGCTATGCGCGAAGGCAAACCGGTAGGCAAACTACCTCCGGCAATAAATCTGGATGCAAAGGCAGGCACCGTGGTGATCACCGACGGCCGGCTACTGCACGGCACAGGCATCAACCATACCGATGAGCCGCGCATTGTGATGCTCAACGGCATGCAGAAACCCTGGATGCGCCAACAGGAAAACTGGATGTTGTCAGTGCGCCCGGAGGTATTGAGACGAGCAAGCCCGAAGCTGCTGCATCGTATGGGTTTCCAGGCAACAACCGGCACCCAGACCAATGAAGGTCATGGCTTCGGCGCAAAAGGACTACCCGGTGAAGCTGCTGGCGCTACTGTAGGTTTCCGCATGGCAGCAGATGCCGGCGAATACCTGCGCGTGGGAGAGTTGAGTCCAAGATCAACACAGGATGAACTCAACGCCGCATATACCCTCCGGGAAGTGGTGGGTGCGGCACGTTCAGGTGGCAGAAGCGCGCCGGTGGGTATCAGCGGTACCCGTTCCGACTAACATTCACGTCATCGACTCACGCCTGATGCGACAAACCACCGAGGAATTCTCCAATAACGCCACTGGCCTCCGCCAGGTGTTCAGCGCCATCTGCACCTGAATAGTAGTGCGTTGCGCCCTTCACGATATGCAGTCGTTTCTGCTTGTGGGTGACCGCTTCAAAAAGCCGCGTTGTGTGGCTTGGTGTACACGCATCATCAGCGGAATTGCCTACAACAAGGACCGGCACGCTGATTTTGCTCCCGGACATTATTGCATCGCAACGTGCATCATCAATACTCCACTGACTGAGCCAGCTGCGCAGCGTACAGAATCTCGCCAGCCCCACCGGTCCATCGTTCACAATCTTCGGGTCACCGAGGTAACAGGTGCCAGGCTGTCGATCACTGGGTTCAATGCTTGGATCCAGCCATCTGGGATCGGCCATGGTGCCATGTACAGTAAAGGCAAACTCGCCCCATGGACTGTCTGATGCGCGAATGACTTCAAGTTTGTCGCGAACCCAGGCGGTAATCCGACGATTGCGGGCTATCTGCGCATCAGCAAACGTGGCGAGGAATTCTGCAGAATACGGCGGTTGATTCGGATTGTCCGGATCGTACAGATTAAGGTCACGATCACGCACTTCAGGTTGCGATTCATCCGTTATGGAAGGATCAATCCACTCGGTGAAGATCCGGTGTCGGCTGACATGTGCGGCCAGCATCATAATGGCATTGGCAGGTGGTAAACGTTTTGCATCCACTGTGTACGGATCGCCCGCGGCGGTATCCGATATGCCCTGCCCAGCTTCGGCAAGCGCCTGATACCACATCATCAGGGAGCCCCCACCAGACCAACCCGCAAGCACAATGTTCGTGTAACCCAGACGTTCCCGCGCGTCACAAATAGCTTCACCCAGGTCGCACGCCACCTTTTCCATGATGAGGGCATAATCTGCGCCTCGATATCGAGAGTTAGCCCATAAAACATGATGCCCTTGTCGAGCCAGTTGTCTCACCATCGGCAGGTACATGCCACCGCCAACCGGATGCATGAATACGATGAGCGTATCCGACGGTTGACCCACCGGCCTGATAAGATGGCAGTCGAGTCCAACCGTCGCCCCGCCGCCACCGTATACATCGCTGTAGGTGGCATTCTCCTGAAAACCAACCGCATAGGCGATCCGTTCACAGCCTTTTGGGGTTCCTGGATTAACCGCTGTTGTCATGTGTATTCCCTGCGCATCTTGTTAGCCCACCGCAACCTGTGCTGGACGTTTGCCGTTAGGACCGTACAAGTTCACCTGCATGCTCGAGATAGCATGCACCAGTGGATTGGGTGCGATGGTCTGTTTACCCGTCCAGGCAATGTCTGGGAAACGTTCCAGAATGCGTTCAAAGGCAAGCCGCAGCTGCATCTTTGCGATGCGAGATCCGAGACATTTGTGTACACCATGGCCAAACGCAATATGCTTTTCGACGTTGTCTCGGTGCAGGTTGAACGTATCCGGATCGGGGAAGACGCTTGGATCACGATTGGCGGCGCCGTACCAAAGCACCAGTTTTTCATCCTTGGCTATTTGCTGCCCGTTCAGTTCCGTATCTTCAACCGCCGTACGCCGCATATGCATGACCGGTGACACCATTCGTAATGCCTCTTCAGACATCTGCGGAATGAGTGAGGGATCATCCAATACTATTGCGCGCTGATCTGGAAACTCCGTCAACAACCGAATCGTGCCAGACAGCGAATTCCGGGACGTATCGTTACCGGCAAAAATGATCAGCAACCAGGAGCCGTCCAGAAACTCCTGTGGGAGCAATTCATCGTTCAACTTGGATTGCGCGATCACCGTTAAAAGGTCCTCACGCGGGTTCAGTCGACGATCAGCCATAACCCGCTCGCCATAGGCAAACATATCATTCACCACCGGATTGAATCGAAACGGAAACATCGGCTCAGATAAAAACGTCTGCCAGGGGTTGGATATGAATTGCGCAGCCAGCTCGAGATGGTGCATCCATACTTTGACCTTGGGTCGATCCTCTTCATCAATACCCAGCATTTCACAAAGCGTGTACAGCGGAAGCTCTTCTGAGAACAGCTTTACAAAATCTACAACAGGGCCTTTTCTCTCCAATTCGTCGAGCAGCTGGTCAATTCTTACACCTACTTTGTCTCGAAGCGTCGCCACGTAAGCCGGGAAAAAGAAATCGCTCTGTTGCATGCGCATTTCCCGATGCAGCGGCTCATCAAGATTGATCAGGGAATTGTAGGCTGCTGGTACCAGCTTTTTGGGTCGCCAGTTTTTTCGATCGGGAACCGCCATGTTGATGCTGCCCCGTTGCGAAGAAAAAACCTTATGAGCGAGCTCTACCTCTTTGATGTCGTCGTATCGGGTGACAGACCAGAACCCCGACATGCCCTTCTCCGCCGGTGACCACATCACCGGTGCGTCCTCACGCATCCGCTTATAAAGATCAAATGGATGACCACTTGTCCAGGCGGAAGGATCCCAGAACTTGAACCCTTCAAAGGTTGGATAGATGGCCTCTTGAGTCGGACGCTGCTGTCCCGAATCAATCAGGATGTCGTCACTGATGAGTTTCAAATCTTATTTCCTTGTTCAGCTGCGCACTTAAGCAACGTTCAGCTAAGGGTTATGGATCAACACCTTCAACCAATGGCAGCGATTCATCTTTCACCCACTCGCTCATGGAGCCGTCATAAACAGCAACGTCTTCTTTACCAAACAGAAGACAGGCAAAGGCATCTATGGTTGCTGATATACCACCACCACAATATGCAATGACTGGTTTGTCATCCAACATTCCAGCTTCAGAAAGTGACTGTTTGACTTCATGAGGTGCACGAAAGGCACCGTCATCCAATAGAGAGTCGTAAAATACATTAATACTGTTGGGGATGTGCCCACGGCGCCCATAGTGATGATCGCCGGTACCCGCGTAGACTTCGGGAGACAGTGCGTTGACTGTGCATATGCCGACATTGTCCATCGCTGCCACAACCTCGTCCTGATTCACAAACCGGTGAGGTAACGTTGTCGACGACCAGCTCTGGGCTGCATAGGTACTCGTCTCGGTTGAACACTCCATCCCGGCTTTTTTCCAGGCGCGCAGTCCGCCATCAAGGATCGCAACACGTTTATGCCCGCAATAGTGCAGCAACCACCAGGCCCGGGTGGCCCACATGGTCATGCCACTGGAGTAAAAAACTACGTCGCTGTCTGCAGTAATACCGGCGTCGGCAAAACCTTTGATCAGCAGATCATCTTCGAGGCGGGTGAAGCCCAGCGAACTGCTACGGTCGGACAACTGGGTCACTTGGTTAATGAAAGCAGCCCCAGGCACATGCCCTTCGTCATAAGTCTGTTGACCCGAATCTGCTTTGTATCCGCCTTTGGGGTTGGGTACCAGATGAATAGCCACATCAAAAAGACGCAAATCGTCGTTACCCAGCTTACTAGCCAGTTCTGTTGGAGAGATAAGGTATTGGGGATGGGTGAAAGCCACAGTATTTCCGCCTTGAGCAATGGTCGAACCCTACTGTAAGACGGATGATGGAGCGGTTCCAGTCGCAAAGTCTGCAGACGTTGCTGAATCAACAACGGTGCCAAGCATAGATCTTCGCAACTCACACACTGGAAATAATCACCCATAAAGGATAGTTTTTGCGCTATCGAAATCTTAAGAAGCATTCCCGTGGGTGAAACAAATACATTTAGAGCTGAAGTGGCGAGCTGGCTCGCCGAAAATTGTCCTGAAGGCGCTCGTGGCCCAGGTCAGATCGCCAGTGGTTCAAGCAAAATTACGCTGGAGCCAGATACCGCACTGTGGCTCGAACGTATGTCAGAACGCGGTTGGACCGTGCCCACGTGGCCAACTGAGTATGGTGGCGGTGGCCTGACCGCAGCCGAAGCAAAAATTTTGTACGATGAAATGGCGGCTATCGGCGCCCGTTCACCTCTGATGGGCATGGGCACATCAATGATCGGCCCGACCCTGCTTGAATACGGTACCGAAGACCAGAAACAACGCCACTTGCCGAAAATTGCACGCGGCGAATACCAGTGGTGCCAGGGCTACTCAGAACCTAACGCTGGCTCCGACCTGGCAGCCCTCACCACACGGGCCGTGGATAATGGCGATCACTTTGTTATCAACGGACAGAAAATCTGGACGTCCGGAGCCGCCACCGCCGACTGGATGTTTATCCTCGTGCGCACCGATCCGGATGCACCCAAACACGAAGGCATAAGCTTCATGCTGATGAGCATGGACCAACCCGGCGTCACTACAAAACCCATTCGCCTGATATCCGGTTCGTCACCCTTCTGCGAGACTTTTCTGGACGACGCCATCGCACAGAAAGTAGATCTGGTTGGAGAGCTAAACAAGGGCTGGACCATCGGCAAACGCTTACTGCAGTTCGAACGCTCGGGTATTGGTGGGCTCACCGGTGGGGCGCGAGCCGCGGACCCAGCTAAAACAATGGTGCGGGTGGCCAAAGCCTACATCGGCGAAGAAGACGGCAAGATTGCGGATACCGCCATGCGCGACACCATTCTTGATATGAACATGCGACGTGCTGCTTTCGGATATACCGCACAGCGTGCCAACGAAGAAAACAAGTCAGGCATTCCTGGGGCTGCAACGTCCATCTTCAAACTGGTCGGCGCAGGCTTGCAGCGCGATGGCGCCGATCTGAAACGACAGATCATGGGTTTCCGTGGACTCGGCGCGCATGAGGAAGTGGGCTTCACCGCTGATGAACTCAAGGCAACAGAAGAATTCCTGCACCTGCGCACCACAACGATTTACGGCGGCAGCAACGAGGTTCAGTCCAACATTATCGCCAAACGTGTACTCGGCCTGCCTGACTAGGGACACAACAGGCGAACACGGCTGTTGCAATGGTGCTTGTACTTCGAGGCAGAGACGGAGTTACTAAAGCCGCGCAGATGCTCCTGCAAGGTCAATGCGTGGCGCTGCCTACAGAGACCGTCTATGGGCTTGCTTCTGATGCCCGCAACGACCAGGCGGTTGCCAGGGTCTTCAGCGCCAAAGGTCGGCCAACCAACCATCCCCTGATTGTGCATATTCCTTCCGCCGAACACCTGGATGACTGGGCAACTGACGTGCCCTGTGCAGCCAGGACACTGGCTGCGCACTTCTGGCCGGGACCTTTGACCCTGTTACTTAAAAAGTCAGAAAACACAAGCCTGGTTGTCACGGGTGGTCTGGATACAGTTGCACTTCGGGTGCCCTCCCATCCATTGTTTCTGGAGGTACTGGCAAGGGTTGCCACAGGCCTCGCTGCGCCCTCTGCGAATCGCTACAAGGCACTGAGCCCAACCACAGCCGATCAGGTGGTCAGCGGGCTTGATGGGCATATCTCAGCCGTGCTGGATGGCGGACCGTGTGAATTCGGCCTGGAATCAACCATTGTCGATTTAACAGCGGATGTACCGCGCATCGTGAGAGCCGGCCCGATAACCCAAGCCATGCTTGAAGAAGTATTAGGTCGCGCTGTTGATGCACCCACTGAACATGATGCCGTTGTGCCCGGTAATGTTCGCGCGCACTACCAACCCCGCACCCCTCTGCGCAAGCTCACGCTGTCGGCACTCGCACGTGAAGACCTCGCGCCCGGCGCCGGGGGATTCATTGTTTACAGCAGTCAGGTCGCAGCAAGGCTGACAGCCATGGGGGTAGCTGATAGTGCCCTCTGCCAATTACCTGATAATGCAGCGGCTTATGGCAAGCAGCTCTATGCAGCGCTGCATCAGATGGATCAACTGGGTGCGAAAACACTTTTTGTAGAAGAACCACCGCGCGGTGATGACTGGTCTGCAGTCAATGATCGGCTCAAGCGTGCGCTCGGCTAAACCTAAACACCCTGCTCTACCGTTACTTATTGCTCTTCAAATGCCCAAACACCCATTCCAGAGCGTTGGGTGAACCCATGGCGCCGTCGCCTGACCTGGGCATATCGCCGGCTGCAAAGTCATGCAGGGTAGCCTGACCATCGCGAATATGCTCCGGTAACGGCGCACCCTCCACCCCTTCTTTTTCCGTGGCAAACAGCGGCGCTGACCTTGCCCAGTTGAGCTGTGCAAAATAGCCGGCACCGGCTTCAAAGATTTTCGCTTCAGATTGACACTCGGAGTGAGCCAGCCAGGCCACCATGGCGGATACTTTTTCCGGACCCATTCTGTCCAGTATTTCTGCTGGAGCGCGTTTCAACTCAGACTTACCCTTTGCCACCCGGCTGGCAGAGATGTTGGCATTTAAATCCTGCACCATGCGGGTATTGGCCTGGGGCACAATGACGTTACATTTGATATCAAGCTTCAGTTTGCGCGCTTCAAACTGCAGTGAATTAGCAAGGCCAATCACCCCGGCCTTGCTCGCTGCATACGCCGCAACACCCGCGCCATATATAGCAGGTGAGGCAGTCACAACACAGCGACCGTATCCTTGTTCAACCAGCACCGGCCAGGCCGCCTGCATAACGGAGAAAACACCCGTCAGGTTCACATCAATTGTTTTCTGCCAGGATTCGAGGGTGAGTTCGCTCCACGTTTGTGGCGTGATGATGCCGGCATTGTTAATGACGATATCTATCCGGCCAAAGGCTTGCAGACCTGCCTCTATAATCGCCTGACCCTGTTCCACCGAGTCGTAATTGGCAACGGCCTCTCCGCCTGAAGCACGGATTTCATCCACCACTTCATCCGCCACCTGATGCTGCGCATTACCGGAACCGTCGTAAGCAATACCCGGGTCGTTAACAATGATTTTGCAGCCGCGAGACGCGAGCAACAGTGCATGTTCGCGACCAAGACCGCGGCCTGAACCTGTAATGAGTGCAACCTGTCCGTCATAGCGTAATTCGTCAGTAGCCAATGTGGTGTCCCGTTGAGATGTTGATTAAGTTGTCAGTCGAAGTGCTTGTCGGGCCACCTTAGCAGGTAGTCGATCTTAGTGTGTTCCCAAATTGGGGCTGGGGCTGGGGCTGATGTTGCCATCCACACCTCAACGCGGAGGTTGATTGCAGTTAAGCAATTCCAGGGAAGCTTTAGTTGTAGACGCCGCGTACAGCTTCCACCTGTTCGGTGAGCTTTTGAAGTGGTAACGCATCCATGCTGAGATCTATACCAATCCTTGCAAATACCGGCGCATCTGCCCAGGGTTCATCACAAAGAGGCGTATCGGGACCAGCGCGGTTAACCAGCAGAAGCGCTGCAGATACAAGGTCGACATAGTCGACATCGGTGCCTTGCCTGATGGGTGACATGTACCCTTCCGGCACGCTGATAATCTCCTCAGCGAAATTCCAGCGCATCAGAATCATGGTGCCAATCACAGGATGAATGCTTTCAATCACTCGATCGAGGGTTTTGCTGTCATTCAACAGATCATCGTTTTCTTCAGCCCAGCTCAAGATGGGCAGTACACCAATAGAGTGTGTAAGCCCTGCAAGGGTTGCCTGGTCCGGGCGCAACTTGGTAAACCGTTTGGCGAGCACGGCACTCCAGGCAGCAACGTCTGTAGAGGTTTTCCAGACTTCTCGCATCTTGTTATCAATCAGCTCCGAAGTCGCCTGAAACATGTGATTCATGGCAAGACCCGTGACAATATTTGCGGCGTATTCCACACCCAAGCGACTGATCGCTTGAGCTAGGTCATCTATGGGGCGCGCCGCCATGAACATCGGTGAATTTGCGGTCTTGACGAGCTGCGCAGCTAGCGCTGGATCCTCGCCAACCACCTTACTGAGTGATACTGCACTGACGTTCCTGGACTGGGCTTCATCGCGGATGCGCAGCGCTACTTCTGGCAGCGAAGGCAAGTCCAGTTCGTCGGCTTTCAGAGCCTGTCTGATATCTGTAGAAATCTGCTCAGCGATCTGCGCCATAGTCGTTTTTACCTGGAAATATCTCTTCAGTATAGACAAGATCCAGAATGCGCAAGCGGAAACCCGCCGACACCGTGCATGTGTTTGTCAGACCTATGCAAAACGCTACTTTACTGCGGCTATGTGACCCTCTTACGTCTGGCAAGACTGGGATCCAGGTGGGCATCAGTCGATATCACTGACTCCAGAGCCTCTACCAGTCGCCAGACATCAGCATAACGCAGGTACAGTGGGGCAAACCCGATACGGAGAATATCCGGTGCGCGGAAATCGACCACCACGCCGTTTTTGATTAACGCCTGACAGATCTGGTAAGCATCAGGGTGCCGATAGGAGAGCTGGCTGCCTCGTTGCTCAGGTAACGAAGGGGATACTAGAGTCAGCGTACCCAGCACAGGTTTGGATTCGATCAGCGCCTGGCAGAGGCTTCCCAGTGCCATGGACTTGTCCCGCACCATGCGCATATCCAGGTTATCAAAGACCTGCAGAGCCGCGTGCAAAGCAGCTAAAGACAGGATCGGCGGGGTTCCGCTGGCAAAACGCTCGATACCTTCAGCAGGCCGGTACTCAGACTCAAAAGCGAATGGCTCTGCATGGCCCATCCAGCCCTGTAGAGGTTGACGCGCCAAGTCCTGATGGCGCTTGGCAACATACAAAAAGGCCGGTGCACCGGGTCCGCCGTTCAGATACTTGTAACCGCAGCCAACCGCGAGATCAACCTGATCAGCATCAAGACCCAGAGGCAGTGCTCCTGCACTGTGGGCCAGGTCCCACAAAATCAACGCGCCACATTCGTGAGCGGCTGCGGTGAGACCAGACATATCGTGCAAACGACCCGTTCGGTAGTCGACATGCGAGAGCATCACCAGTGCTACCGACTCATCAAGCGCTGCGGGAATATCATCGAGTGGCAGGGCTTCCAGCAGAGCCCGTTCCGGACCAAGCAGATCCACCAGTCCTTGAGCGATGTACTGGTCGGTTGGAAAGTTGGCAGTGTCAGTCAAAATGCGCGTGCGTCCCGGACGCAAGCGCAGTGCCACGCACAATAGTTTGAACAGGTTTACCGAAATCGAGTCCGCAACCAGGACCTGATCAGGACCCGCGCCAATGACAGGCGCGATCAACTCACCAGCCACGCGGGTAAGTCCGATCCAGTCATGGTCGTTCCATCCACCTATAAGGCTGGCACCCCATTCCACCTCGGTCGTTTGGGCGACGCGGCGACGCGCTTCGTGGCTCAGCGCACCCAGCGAGTTACCGTCAAAGTAGGCCATGCCTGTTGGGAGGTCGAACTGCAGGCGATACCCGGCCAGCGGATCATCGCGGTCCATTGCCAGGACAGAAGGCGGATAACTCTGCTCATCTTCACGGGCCATCAACGATGCCTCGGAGTGTCGTCTGGAGGGTATTGAAGGCTGCGGTACCTGAATGCAGCCAATCAAAGTGGCCCACCCCTGCCACCATCACACGTGAGGCGCCATCAAGATCGCTAAAGACGGAAGGTACAATGGTATCGGCCTCCCCACTCAGCACAACTGTTAAAGGGTGTGGCGTTAAATTTACGGGATCGGCGCAGCGATAAGCATCCGGCAAGTCTGCAGGCTGGCCACCCATAAAACGGCGCACCATTTTCTGACAACTGTTATCTCCCGCACCGTAGCGCGCGAGCCGGGCAATGGGTGAGAGAGCAACGACCGCTTCAACAATGGGGTCAGCGTGCGTGGCCATGCCAGCGCCAAGCAGCAGCGCCAGATGACCTCCCGCGGAGTGTCCGAGCAGAATAACAGGGCGCGCAGCTGTCTGGTTCGCGATGACGCGGACAGCCTCTTCTGCATCCTCCAAACTCCCTGGCCAGCCTCCACCGGCATCACCCACCCTGCGATACTCCACAGACCAAACGATGTAACCAGCGTCTGCCAGCGCAGTCGCGACGGGGCCAGTGTGCGTTAAATCATATTCGTTAGACCAACAGCCGCCGTGAAGAAGGATCAGAGTTGCAAGCGATGCCCGCTGCGGACGCCATACCGACATAAATTGTTCAGGCGCTGCGCCATAATGCAGAGTTTCATCTGGCATACGTGCATCGAGATCGCTGAGTTCAGTAAAGGACACAGGTCCACGAGCAAGGGGGTTTTTCAGAGGATACTCCCACTTGAATTTTCAGCGATGCACACGTCAGATCAGCCTATTCGCCCACGGCCCCTCTGATGGGAGACACGGGCTCATTCACCTGCTGATTCAGCAACTCGGATACCGTTGCACCTGCACGTCTTCTGGCCAGCCAGTCTTCAGGATCGTACTCCACCCCTACCGGGTTCGCTTCGAACTTCGGACCATTCATATAATCTACCGCTTCATCCCCTGACTCGAAGCAGTCGACCTGAAACTCCATCTGATTCCCGTCCGGATCCTTGTAATACATGGACGCGGTGATGCCATGGTGAACACACCAGTAGGGTGTCACCTGCTTTTCTTTAAGATGTTCATAGGTGTCGAGCAGATCGTCGAGACCTGCATAGGTATAAGCAACATGGTCAACGCCAACAAGCCCTTTTTTTTCAGCCTCTGTGTCGTCAGGCCTGACCACATCCAGATCTATCATTGCAAGACGATGATGCTCCCCATCGTAGGAAAGAAAGGCCATCGCAGGATTCTGGTGGTGAATGTCGGCGTCAAAGACAAGCGTGTACCAATTGAGCATTTCAGCGAATCGATGAGTTCTATATACAACATGGGCGAACTTCGAAGGTTGTGCGCGTGGCATTGACTACCTCTAAAAACTTGGACTGTAACGTCGATTTTTACTACGTCGCGCTGATTAAATCCACCTGAAGATACCGGGTAAGTGCTGACCTGTTCCGGTGGTGCGCAGTTGTATTGATGGTGTTGTTGATCAACAAACATCACTACACTGCTACTGAACTTGATTTACTGAGCTTTCTTGCAACAATCTTCATCCCATCAGTCCCCTGCAACACCCGAGATAAATATCGGGGGTTTCACGCAAGGAAAGGTAGGTCGCCACCTGGTGCGACTGGGCTCCTTCATGGCCATGGGTACGTTAACCATGAACGTGGCGCAGTTAGCCGAAGCGGTGTATCTGGGCATGTTAGGCACGGAAGCGCTGGCCGCCATGGGTTTTGCCTTTCCCCTGACGATTACCCTGTTTGCCTTCGCCGGCGGCATTGGCAGCGGTGCATCATCTGTTATCGCACGCGCCATGGGTGCTGGTGAACGCGCGCAGGCCTCCATTCTGGTCACTCATGCGCAGATTTTGTCCGTGGTGGTTGGTGTTGTCCTGGCGGTCGTTGGCTACGTTTACGCCTACCAGATAGTGTCTGCTCTGGGCGCTCAGGATTTAGTCCTGGAGCTGACCGTCGCCTATCTGCAGGTCTACATGATTGGTGTGCCGTTCTTTCTATTGTCGATCGTAGGTTCAACTTTGCTGCGCGCAACCGGCAGTGCAGCCAGCCCAGGCATTGTCATGACGGTGGGTTCAGTAATTCAAATTGCGCTCGGTCCAGTATTGATCTTCGGTTGGTTTGGTTTGCCGGAACTCGGCATTGCCGGTGCGGCCTGGGCATACGTTATCTCTCGCATCTCCAGTGTTGCTTTATACGCAGTACTCCTGGCCAAAGCGGAACTCATGACATGGCAGCTTAAAGGGATTGGACAATCCTGGATGGCTATCATGCACGTTGGCGCACCGGCGATTGCCAGCGGTCTGGTGATGCCAATTTCTATGCTGGTGATTACCCGTTTACTGGCTAATCACGGGCACGAAGTGGTTGCAGCTTATAACGTCGCCTCACGAGTAGAAACCATCGCACATATGATTCTGTGGTCGTGCTCGTCTTCTGCTGAGCCCTTTATTGGGCAGAATTGGGGTGCCCGGCAGTATGACCGTGTACGCCGCGCGCTCTTTCTGTGCCACTCGTTTTGTCTCGCCTGGGGTGCAGCCACCTTCTTCTTTATGATTGCTTTTGGCGCTGCCCTGGTGAGCCTGATCGACGACAACCCCCAGGTGGTGGCAACGGCTGAGACATTTTTTCTGATCATTCCGCTGAGTATCGGTTTCATGGGCATGATGCAGGTGGCAAATTCATCGTTTAATGCTCGCGGCCTGCCCCGCCCAGCGCTGATTATCTCGTTGCTGCGCGGGGTAATTCTTGGCATTCCGCTCGCCATTTTAGGTGATATGTTGTGGGGCTATACCGGCATATTTGCAGCTACCGCGATCACCAATGTCTTGTTAGGCGTACTCGCCTGGCAATGGAACAGACGCAGCGTTGAGCGACAAGCCAGCGCTTAGAGAACTCACCTCACTACTGTATCGCTAGCATAACCTTCTGCCTGCAGCTTATCTGTTGCGTGCAAAAATGTTTTTCATCTCGACATGCTCCCAGGTGAGCGTTTAACTTGTCAGTACTCTCAATACAAAAATCGGAGCGCTCGCAAACATGAAAGATTTCAGACTCGGCGTCTGCTACGACTTTAGAAACCCACCGGATTCCGGCCATTCAAATTCCTTTCTTTATGGTCAGGTGATGGAGCAGGTGAAATGGCTGGATGAAATTGGCGCCGACCTTGTCTGGTTCACCGAGCATCACTTTGTAGAAGACGGCTACCTACCCAGTTGGGTGCCAGTCGCCGGCGCGATGTCTGCCGTGACCAAAAACGTCCGCTTTGGCACCGATATTTGCCTGGCGCCATTTAATCATCCCGTGCGCCTTGCCGAAGATCTCGCAGTGCTGGACAATCTTTCCGGCGGACGCGTTGAACTGGGTTTGGGTATGGGCTATGCGCCTCACGAATTTCGAGGCTTCGGCTTTCCCGTCAGCCGCCGCGTTTCGCTGATGAACGAATCAATCGAAATCCTGCAACAGTGTTTCAGCGGCGAAAAATTCAGCTTTAACGGCAAACGGTATCAGCTGCAAGACGTACAGATTACCCCTGGCTATGTGCAAGAAGGTGGCCCGGCTTTATGGGTTGCGGCTATGTCAGAAGCAGGCGCACTGCGCGCTGCTAACTACAACACCAATTTTTTACCCCAGGGGCTCAAAGCAAAGTCTTTTGACCCCTGGGTTTCCGAAGTCCAGGCATTGGGACGTCAACCTTCTGACCATAGAGTCGGTATCATTCGCAGCATTCTCGTTACAGAAGACAAAGACAGCGACTGGCAGGTCGTTCGTGCTGCAGAGCGCTACCGAATGGCCTTGTATCAGAAATTTTTTGCCGAGAGCGGTGAAGGTTTCGGCGACAAAGGTGAACCGGTGCCACAAACCTGGATTGTTGGCGACGTTGATCACTGTGTTCAGGAGATCCTTTCATTCATCGAGAAGTTTGGTATCACTGATATTGTATCCATGGCAGTCCCGCCAGGATTGCGTACCGAGCAAATGGCCACAAGCCTGGAAAAACTTTTCACCCAGGTATCCCCACGGGTCAAAGCAGCGCTGTCGCAGGGTTTTGCGTGACAGCCTTAGGCGGACATTACCTTACCGCGCGGAACGCCCCGGAGATAACCGAACACGTTTGGTCATTCAGCGATCCTTAGCCGGAGTAACCACCGCCTAATATCAAGGTTCTGCTTACCTAAGCTTTGCGCCGCACCTTAACGGGCAGGTGCGTATACCCTTTTACAAACGACGAGAAGGTTCGAGTGGGCTCATCCTGCGCTTCGATCTTCTCAAATCGTTTGAGGATCTCCTCCCATAAAATGCGCAGCTGCAGTTCAGCAAGACGATTACCCATGCAGCGATGAATGCCGAACCCGAATGACAAGTGCTGTCTCGAGTTCGGCCGCTCGATATCCAACGCATCCGCGTTCTCAAAAACCTCTTCGTCCCGGTTACCCGACACATACCACATGAGCACCTGGTCACCCGCTTTGATCTGCTTGCCACCTATTTCGCAATCCACATTTGCAGTGCGGCGCATATACGACAACGGCGTTTGCCAACGGATCAATTCAGCAACCATCTTGGGGATAAGTTCCGGATGCGCGATCAGTTTGTCGTATTGCTCCGGAAATTTATTCAACGCGTAGACGCTCCCGGACATGCTGTTACGTGTTGTATCGTTGCCGCCCACAATAAGCAGGATCAGGTTGCCGAGATGTTCAATTGCCTCCATGTCTTTTGTGGTTGCACCATGCGCCAGCATGGAAACGAGATCATCACCGGGATTTTTTCTACGTTCTTCCCACAGCCTGGAAAAGTACTGCACACACTCAATAAACTCTTCTGTTTTCTGTTCCTGAGTTTCTACAAGGCCACCCGGCTCAGGTATGGCAAAGGTAATATCCGACCAGCGTGTCAGTTTGGCTCGATCTTCTAATGGAAAATCAAACAATGTAGCCAGCATGAGTGTGGTCAACTCTATGGACACTTTCTCAACCCAGTCAAAGGTCTCGTTTTCAGGCAGTGAGTCCAGCACCTTGCAGGTTCTCTGCCGAATCAGCGGCTCCAGTTTGGCAAGATTATGAGGTGCAACAACACCGGTGACTGTTTTTCTCTGATCGTCGTGCTGGGGAGGATCCTGGCTGATAAACGGTGGCTTGCTGCCTTCAACAAAACTGGCCGGCGCGCCTGCTTCCGGGCGGATACCCAGCGTTATGCCTTGCGCGGAAGAAAATCTCTTCCAGTCTGCATCGACAGCTTTAATGTCTTTATATTTGGTTAAAGACCAGTAGCGACCAGCGGTTTCAATTTCGTTGAAGTGAACCGGATCTTCCTTGCGCAAGCGTTCGAATACTTCCTGCCAGCGGTTGTCGCAGAACAGATGGGCATTCAGCGGGTTGATATCCTCTATCAACATATCCTGCGGATCCGGGGTGTTTGCCCCTTTTGCCGCCTGTTCCTGTTCGGGTGTCACAAATTGGGGTGTACGCACTGCTTCGCTCATGTCTCACCTAAGTCTTTAAGAATAATTTACACGCCGAATGAATGTTCGGACATCCGGGTATTAAAAATACCACAACTTGACCATTTGTTGCGCGCTGTTGGCACCTTCTCAAAGACGCGCCGGCAGTACGCGTCGGTAGTAAACGTGGCACACTAAGGCTTGAGAACCTTTTGGAGAGAAGAACTTGAACACTATCCTGTGCATCCGAAAAACGTTGTTTACGGCAACCTGCTTACTGGTGGCAAGCATGTTATCCGCCTGTTCACCACCCCCCGAATCCACCGAGCAAGTACAGCCCCAGGCAACCACCGATACATCCGAAAGCCAGGACAACACCGTTGTAGGTCTTGTCAGCCAGGCGCAAGCAATACATGATCGTGTGCTGGTATTAGACGCGCATGCCGATATCGTGCCGCCGGGTACCACTTCGCGATACGGCGATGCAGATGGCTCATCACAAGTGGCACCTAACAAGATGGCAACGGGCGGCGTTGATGCGGTTGTGCTCGCTGTTGCTGTGGGCTCCGGGCCGCGGACGCCTGCAGGGGATGCCGAAGCGCGGGCCATGGCGGATGTGGAGCTGGCTGGTGTCATGGCTATTGCTGATGCAGACGACCGGGTGGTTGTGGTGCGTTCCGCCGACGAGCTGGAGCAGGCGCACGCAAACGGCGAAATAGCGTTACTGTTAGGCTTCCAGAATGCGCGCATCCTGCAGGGCAGCGTCGATGCGGTAAACGAATTTTATGATGCTGGCGTGCGTGTATTTGCCCTGACGCACCTGGGCCACAATGATTTTGCCGACTCATCCAGACCGGTTTACATTGCTGAGAGTGGCGGCTATGAACCTACCGAAGAACATGGCGGTTTGTCGGCTCTTGGCAAGGCGGCCATTGCTCGCATCAATGAACTTGGTGCTGTGGTAGACGTCTCCCAGTTGTCGAAACCCGCCACATTACAGGCAATAGAATTATCGCAGACACCGGTTATTGCCAGCCATTCGAATGTCAGAGCACTGTCGGATGTGGCAAGAAACTTATCCGATGAAGAAATTGACCTGATTGGCGCGACGGGGGGCGTAATTCACATTGCTGCATTTACCGCCTATTTATTGGACATATCCGACCCACAGCTGATTGAGAACATCAAAGCCATCCGGCGTGAGGCGGGTATAGATGAGAGGTATTCCTATCCTTATGAACTCTATTGGGAAATTGACAATCCCGAGGAACAAACCGCGTTTCTGACCGCTATGCGAGACCTCCTGGGGCCAACAACAGTAAGCCGCATGGTGGACCACATTGATTATCTGGTGGAACGCATCGGCATCGACCATGTCGGCATCGGCAATGACTTTAATCATGGCGGCGGTATTGCGGATTTCCGAAATGCTGAAGACGCCCTGAATATGACCCTGGGTTTACTGGAGCGTGGCTATTCCGCCGAAGATATTGAAAAGATCTGGAGCGGAAATTTTATCCGGGTGATGCGTGTTGCAGAAGCCAACTAGATAACGTACGCATCCCCGGTTGCGCGTACCGTGATTTCCGCAATCGATACACCCCAGGGTTGGTTGATGGCATAAACAATCTGATCTGCAAGGTATGCCGGCTCAAGCGCCCAGTACTGCACGTTGTTACTGTCTAACTCCTCTGGAGACAAAGCACCCCCTGCCGCAGCGGCAAACTTGCCCATATAAGCCGTTGCGTTTGCGCCGAGGATGCCCGCCACCGCTTCCGGATTCACCACCCCGGTGCCCAGCGCTGTTGCAGGTACCCCCGTGGGTTTCACTGTGGTGACCTTGATTTTGCCCAGGGACTCCTGGCGCAGGGATTCCGACAGGAAGGTCACCGCCGCCTTGGTTGCCCCGTATACACCCCCACCCACCACCGGATAGTTGCCATATATGGAGGACACATTAACGATGTGTCCACGACCTTGTTGGATCATCACATCATGTGCAGCAGCTATCCCGTTCAACACCCCTTTGAAATTGATATCGATACAGCGGTCCCATGCATCATGTGCCGCATGGTGATCGCTGAAGAATGCCAACGGCATCACGCCGGCGTTGTTGATCATCACATCAACACGTCCAAACGTGTCTACCGCGTGTTTGACCAGGGCCATCATCTCTGACCTGGCGGTCACATCAACTTTCATTGCAGTAATACGCGCACCTCGTGAGGCAAGCGGTTCCACCACCTCATCCAGGGCGCTTTTGTTGATGTCCCCGGCAACCAGACAGGCTCCCAGAGCGGTCAGTTTTTCACTGACCAGTTTGCCAAACCCGCTGGCCGCGCCGGTAATAACGATGACCTTGTTTTCAATATGGTTGCTCATAACACTCTCTTTCTGACATCTGCGTAAACTGTTTTCAGCCTGGCGACACAAGCCGGTAGCGGACCGGCAGGTGTTTAAACCCGTGCACAAAACTCGCGCGCAGATACTCGCCTTCACCGACCAGCGTCATCTCCTTTATACGCGGTATGAGCTGGGTGAAGAAGATACGCATCTGCATACGCGCCAGGATCAGACCCAGACACTGATGTGGTCCGGTACCAAATGCCAGGTGGCGATTTGGTTTGCGAGTGATGTCAAATTTGAAGGGATCATCAAACACGTCTTCGTCGAAGTTGGCTGATGCGTAAAACAGCCCCAGACTTTCACCCTTTTTAATCTTCTGTCCGCGAAGTTCGTAGTCCCGGGTGGCTGTGCGGCTGAACTGATTAACCGCCGTGGTCCAGCGGATCATCTCTTCCACCGCCAGCTTTACCGTATCTTCATCATCAATATTATCTTTCAGCAGCTGCAGCTGCTCAGGATTGCGCAACAGCGCATGCATGCCGCCTGAAATTGAGGTACGGGTGGTCTCATGGCCGGCGGTGGCAACGATGATGTAATAAGAAATGAGCTCTTTGTACGGCAGGTACGCCCCGTTGAGTTTACCGTTAGCAATGTAAGAAGCGAGGTCCTCCCGCGGATTGACTCGTCGCTCTTCGGTCAACTCAGTGAAATAGTCGTAGAGCGATTTCACTGTTTCAATGCCTGAAAGGGGATCGTCTCCCGCGCGCATCATTTCCGGGTCTTCGCCAGCAAACAGCTCGTTGGTCAACTTCAGGATCAGCGGCTCGTCCTCCTCCGGGACACCAAGCAACTCTACAATGAGTTTAAGGGGCGGCCATACGGCCACATCCTGCACAAAATCCAGTTCGCGCTCTCCACCGTCGCCCATCATGTCATCGATGATAGATTCGGTGATCATATTCAAGCGATCTTCCAGGGCTTTGATGTTGCTGGGTTTAAACCAGGGTTGAACCAGCGCACGATAATTCGTGTGATCCGGCGGGTCCATCTGTACCAGAGATCTGATCAAACCCTGCTCTCCCGCCGTGGCCAGCACTTCGAGCAGCTTAGGCCGGTCTTCCAGACGTTTGAAAATTTCCATAATCAGCTCTTCGCGCATTTCAGGCTGGGTCTGCTCAGGTATGAGAATCGGCCGCGGCTCGCTGGCAAACACTTCCGGATTCTTTTCGATCTCAATAATGTCAGCGTGTTTGGTCACCGCCCAGAAAGGCCGGTAATGCTCCGGTTCAACCCAGCGCAGCGGATCGTTTTTACGCAACCAGGTAAACGCATCGTGCGGATGACCGATCCGCCCATAAACCTCTGGTGCGATGACATCATCATCACGAAATTCATAATTTTGCGCCATGGCACAGCTCCCCATCTGTCAAATGTAACTCAGGAGTATAGAGGCTGCCGAGTCAGTCTATACTAGGGAAAACCGCTACGCGCACGCTCAGCTGGGATAGTTGAATTCGCCTGAGGTAGACTGGCCACTCGCCAATCTACCAAGTGTCCGCACCATGAGTCATTCTATTGCCATAATTCTGCGTCAGCTGCGTATCGGTGCGGGTATGCTGTTCATACTCTGCAGCCTTGATGTTGCCGCCGCCCAGGCGTCTTTACCCACTTTGGCAGCCGATGTTGTCATCCATCGGGATGAATGGGGGGTACCACATATTCGCGGCAAATCAGACGCTGCTGTCGTGTTCGGCTCAGCCTGGTCTCAGTGCGAAGATCATTTCTGGCAACTCGAAGATACCTACATCAAAGCGCTCGGCCGTTCTGCAGAAGTCTCCGGGGAACAGGGCCTGCAGAGTGACCTTAATGTCGCCCTGTTTGAAATCACCACCCGCGCGGAACGGGACTTTCCTGACCAGCCAGACGAAACCCGGACACTGGCCAATGCCTTCGCTGCAGGTTACAACTTTTATCTCGAGCGCAATCCTGACATCACCCCACGCCTGCTCACCCGTATGGAGCCCTGGCATGTGCTTGCCTATGAACGTTACATGATGTTGGGACGCCTGCTGGGTGCAGCGCACGCGCCATCACCACAGGCAACCGTGCTGGAAGAAGAGCAGCGCGCCTCGCTTGGTTCAAATCAGTGGGCGATCGGTCCAGAGCGCACCCGCAACGGCACCGCCATGCTGTTCATCAATCCACATCAGCCCTGGTACGGTCCGGGCATGTTCACTGAAATGCATGTCAAAAGTGACTCAGGCTGGGATTTTTCCGGCGCCATGTTTCCCGGTTCACCGTTCCCAACCGCAGGATTCAATAACCGCCTGGGGTGGGCGTATACCGTCAACGAAGCAGACATCGCTGACGTCTATCGTCTGACTTTCGATCACCCTGACGACCCCGATCAGTATCGATATGGTGATGGGTGGCGACGCGCAGACTCATGGCAGGCACAGATCAAGGTGGCTGGGGAGGCTCAACCGCGCCAATACCAGCTACGCCGCAGTCACTATGGACCGGTGATCAAACAGGAAGACGAACACCATTTTTTAGCTGCCCGGGTACCCCGCCTGCATAATGGCTCACGCATGCAGCAATCCCTGGCTCAGTCTCGTGCACAGAACTTTGAGCAATGGTATGCGGCAGCCTCTACATTGCAGCTGCAGACGTTCAACACCATGTACGCTGACGCTGATGGCAACATCTTCTATCTGTACAACGGCACAATCGCCAAACGCAAGGTCGGGGTCGATTGGACCCAACCCGTCGACGGGTCGGATCCGGAAATGGAATGGGGCGACTTCCACCCTATTGAAGAACTGCCTCAGGTACTCAACCCACAGTCCGGCTTTATGCAGAATTGTAATTCTTCACCCTTCACCACCACCGACGACGACAACCCATCCATGAAGGACTTCCCGGCTTATATGGTGGAGGATGCCACGGATGATAAGCGTCGCGCCAAGCTGTCACGCTGGCTGCTGCGCCAGGCCCGGGACGTCACTTTCGAGGACTGGCAGGCAATGGCTTACGACACCACTTTGTATTGGCCGATGACTGAGCTGCCCAGATACCAGCAGCGTCTCAGGCACTTGGCATTGTCTGATCCCGAGCTCGCTGACCGGGTGCAACCTTACTTATCGCACCTGCTCGACTGGGACTACCGCAGCACAATCGACTCAACCGCGACAACATTGGCTGTAGCCTGGTACGAAACACTTTATGGGCGAGGCTATCCGGTAGAGACGTTAAAAGCAGAATTCACCACCGACATCCCTGCTCGATTCGAAGCGCTGATAGAAGCGGCAGACATGCTGGAGGAGCGTTACGGCAGTTGGCAGGTGCCCTACGGGCAGGTGTATCGCATTCAGCGACATGCACCTTACAGTGACGTTGCCGACGTGCCATTTGATGACCGCCAACCCAGCCTGCCGAACTCTGGTGTTCGCGGGCCACTGGGGGTCGCCTTCACGGTTTACCATACCCCGCCAACGGATGATCCGAATCGTCAGCATCAATATGCGGTAACCGGGTCATCCTACCAGGCCGTTTACGAGTTTCATCCGGACGGCGTGCGTGCTGCCAGTTATTTACACTACGGCCAGAGCCATGATCCGGACTCACCACACTTTTTTGATCAGGCAAAGCTGCTTTCAGAAAAGCGTTTCAAGCCAGCGTGGTTTGCATGGCCAGATGTGGTGAAACATACTCGAGTGGCTTATCACCCCGGAGAATGACAATCAAGGACGACAAGCACATCATATTCGGGGCCTGGGTATTTATGGAGCTATCAAATGAGCAACTTGCCATACGTTCTTACCACCGCTGACCGCGTTGAGATTCACGAACTTCCTGGACGGTATGGCGATGCGATTGACGACCGAAACTGGGCAAAGCTCGACGCTGTGTTCACCGAGGATGCCGTATTCGACCTGACCGGTGTCGGCTCACGGATATGCGAAGGGCTCGAGGACATTAAGTCGTTCATGGAAACCGAGGCTGCCCATCCGCGTACACACATGATGACCAACATCTATGCCGACTCAGATGAAGACGGCGTGACCATGCAGTTTCGTATTGTCGCCCTTATCGGCAAAGGGCAAACGGCAACTGCCAGTTATTACGACAAGATCGTCAAAACCGACGATGGATGGCGGACCCAACACCGTTACGTCTCAACTCGTCGTCGCGACAAGCGCGAGGCCGAAGTTGATCGCAAAGGTATTGCGCGCTAAATCGTGATCTAAAAACTACGGCGGCGTAAGACGATAAGCCCTGGCAGCTGTCCCGCTGAAAACATCACGCTTCTCCGCTTCTGACAAACCGAGTTCATTTGCGATCTTCTTGAACAGATTCCACAACGTTCGGTAAGAAATACAATCTTTGTCCACCGGAAAATTACTTTCAAACATGCATCGCTCGGGACCAAAAGCCTCAAGTGCATATTGATAGCGCGGTAACAGGGTCTGCATAAACTTGTCAGAACTCCAAGGCGCGGACGCCTGATGCATATGATAAGGCGGCTCCCAGTCATCAACGCGCATTTGTGCACCACCAAGCTTCATCACCGTATTTGAGCAGGCCGCAACCGCATCAATCGCAGCTTGCCATGCCTTCAACTCAGCATCATCAGCATTGGGATCAATCCTGCCACCCAGGTGATTGACGATGACTGTCACCGCCGGAAATCTGTTTGCAAGTTCGGCAAGTTTTGGTAACCGTGAAAAGTCTGGCGACCAGTTGTCGTAGCTGAGGTTGTATTTCTCAAGCTGGGCGAACCCTTTAAGAAAGTTGTCGTTCAGATCAGAAGGGAATGCGGTACGGACGCCGCGAAAATACTCACTGGCGTGCAAATGTGCCTCCAGCACTCGAGCCACATCGCTACCTGCACGAAGATCTGCAGTGCTGAAGATGCCGGTACACAATCGTGTTGGTCCATAGATCCCTGAACGACTCATGGCAGCAATACCATGAACAAATTCAGTTTCCCCAACACATCGCATCTCTTGCGGACCATCGCTGCGATAAAACGCGCCGCATTGAGCAAATACTGTCTGTACGATGTTATGGCCGCTGGCAGAAATGTCCCGACTGATTTCCTCACACAGATAGACCTCCTGCCGAAAACCCATACCGTTACGGTTACGCAGATCCCATAGGTGATGGTGCGGATCGATAATCGGCAAGTCAGGTTCAATGACGTCTTCCGGGATCTCTTGCGCGATCCAGTTTTCAATATCGGCGTTTTCGTCAATGCTCATAGGCCCCTCTCTTCTTCCAACTCTTGTGACAGTCTCTTTTCCTGGGCTATGAAGCCGATACCTGCTCCATCAGCGATGCCAGGGTCTCATAAGGCTGCGCGCCTACAACGCCGTAGCCACCGGCGACAAATGTGGGGACACCGGTCACGCCATACTGCCGTGATTTAGCCCAATCCGCATCTACCGCCATTTTGAAACTGCGGGTCTCAAGTACCTCCCGAGCCGCGTCGGCTGGCAGGCCCACATCGGCAGCGATATTAACAAGCACATCAGGCTCGCCGATATTGCGCCCGTCAACAAAGTACGCTTTATACAAAGCGTCGTGGACAGCATAGCCACCCGTTTGCGTATCCGCCCACTTGCCCAGCTCCTGCGCCAGGCGGCTGTTATAGGTGTGAGTACGCCGACCATAAGCCAGGCCCTCTTCATCCATCAAGGTTTTCATGCGCGTATACATGGCTTCGATGTCGATATCACGTCCGGCAAACAGTTCTTCTATGCTGATGCCACCCTCCGGGGTATCCGGGTGCAAAGGAAAATGCACCCAGGTCACGTTAACGTCAAAATTTGCTCTGAGTTTTTCAATACGCCCGGTACTGAGATAACACCAGGGTCATATGTAGTCGGTGAATATTTCCAGTTCGATAGGTGCCGCCATTGGTTATCCTGCTGTCTGTTTGAACTCAGGCTACACCAAATTGAATAAGGGCGCTAAATTTCAGGATGACGATCAAAACCTGGCAGGCTGCCGCCGCTTGAAATCGTCTGCCGTAATGGGTCGACCGCCAATCGCCGCAGTGTCCCAATCCTGTACGATTTTCCACTGGCCATAGATGTTCTTCAACACGATGTGGAATTGACCGTAAGCGTATGATGTTTCTCCCGCCGAGGACATTATCGCGATGCGATAGAAACCAGTGTCGTAAGAGACCGACGCGTTTGTGTGTCGAGTATCTAGCCAGAAATCCAGCGAAATACGATCACCTGCATCTCGATTTTTTCGAAATCGTTCTTTGTTTGCCTTCTTGAACAGGCCAGCTGTATCCAACCCATCCGGCGTCACACGCAACACCTCATCTGCGTACACCGAGTTAAGCGCCTCGCCGTCCAATGTTTCAAACGCATATTGAAAAGTTTTCCAGACAGTTTGATCAATCTCTTTCTGGATGCTGGTGACTTCAGTGTCAGCAAAGCACGGTGTCGCTATGAACAGTAAGAATGCGGCCAATAGATTGCGGACCATTGGGTGCCCCTTGTTTGAAATTATATTTTTCGCCATCAGGTTTTCAGTTTTTTGCCTATAGCGATGCGATAGAATACGGGCACAGCGATCAGTGTCAGCAATGTGGCGAATGCCAAACCACCCATAATACAAACCGCCATTTCCCGAAAGAAAGCATCTCTCAACAATGGCGACATACCGGCGATGGTTGTGCCTGCTGCAAGCATTACAGGCCGCAGACGACTGATACAGGCAGCGGCGATCGTCTCTAGCGACCAGTCATCTTCCAGCAGGCGTTTATCAATTTCATCAACAAGGACGATACAGTTTTTAATCAGCATCCCGGACAAGCTTAAAAATCCGAGAAAGGAGGGAAAAGTGAACGCAAGATCTGTTGCCAGCAAGCTCACAACAACGCCGCAGATGATCATCGGTACTGTAAGCCAAATGACTAACGGCTGTTTTATCTTGCCAAACATAAGCACGGTAACTATCAGCATTATCCCCAGGGCCATTGGAATTTTGCTGGTCAGCGTCGTCATAGCTTCCAGATTAGCTTCGTATTCACCCCCCCATTCCAACTGATAGCCCGGCGGCAGAAAGATGGCCTCAACTTCACCCCTGATGGCTTCAAAAACCCGGCTGGCATTACGCCCAACCGGCGGGTTGGCCTGGGCCGCAATTGTGCGGGTTCGCTCGCGCCTGAAAATCATGCTGTCTTCCGCATCCAGCTCAACACCGGTAATGACCTGAGACAAGGGCACATAGGCCTGTTGCACTGAACTCCAGATTTGTCGATCCTGCACAGCTCGCATGTCGCTCAACTCCGCGCGAGGGGCGCGCGCGACAATCGGTAACAACTTATCTTCATCGCGATAAGTCCCAATCCGTACGCCGGTAGTAGAGAACGCCGTGGCTGTGGCCAGATCGTTGCGGCTGATGCCAACCTGACGTGCGCGGCTTTCATCAAATCGGGGAGAGAGTGTCAGTTCACGCTGTCGCCAGTCTGTTTTTCGATCAATCAGATCGTGGGTGAGATAAACGTTTAAAGCCTGCTCAGCAAGAGCTCGCAGCACATGGGCATCAGGTCCTGAAAAACGCGCTTCAATTTTTGACGTGCCACTCGGCGTAAACTCAGTGCGTCTGACAGCCAACTCGGCGTCTACGCTTTCACTCTGCAGCAGTTCAGCCACACGTACTCTGGTCGTGTCAATGTTAGAGATATCTCTAACCCTTAACACCAGTTGTGCGTAGGCGGGGTTAGGCTGCTCAGGTCTTACAGTTGCAGAGAAACGGGTAGTACCGCGGCCAATAAAACCAGTCACCGCAACCACTTCAGGATCTGCTTGCAGCAATGGTTCAAGCCGTTCAACTTCTGCCGCGGTAGAACGAATATCCATGCCTTGCGGCAACCGCATGTCGACAAACAGAAGCGGGGAATTTGTGGTTGGGAAAAAGCCCTGTTTAACAAACCCAAACCCAGCCAGGCATGATACGGTTATTGCAATTAGAACCAGGGTGGCGAGCCAGGCATGGCGCAAACTAAATCCCAGCAAACGCCGATAAGGTGCGTAGCCCCAACCACTGTAAAGCGCGTTCTCGGAATGTGCTGTGTTGGCTTTCAGCAGGTAACTGCCAAGCAGTGGCCCAACAGTAACTGCCAGCACCCAGCTGAGCAGCAGCGAGATAGCCACAACCTGAAAAAGCGATCGAAGAAAATGTCCGGGATTATCGTCAGCGAGCCCAATAGGGCCGAATGCCGCAATGCCAATGACGGTAGCGCCCAGCAATGGAAAAGCGGTACGCTGCACCGATGCAGCAGCAGATTCCCTTGCTGACAAACCGCGCTGCACACCGGTGACCATACCTTCAGCCACCACAATAGCGTTATCCACAAGCATACCCATGGCGATCATCAGAGCTCCCAGAGAGATGCGCTGAAGCTCTATTCCGCCAAACGTCATGAGGGACACTGTACCCAGAACCGTTAGTAACAACACACTGCCAACAACAGTGCCAGCACGCCAACCCATAAATACACACAAGGCCGCGACCACTGTCAGAATGGAAAGACCCAGATTGATTTGAAACTCGGTGAGCGAATCTTCAACCACTGTGTGCTGGGCATAGATTGGTTCATAGGTTACACCGATAGGTAAAGTGTCTAGTATCTCGCGCATTCGCCGATCCACCGCCCTACCCACTTCCACTACGTTCTGATCATCTACAACAGAGACTCCGACGGTAAAGACCCGCTGACCCTGATGGCGGATAATCTCTGAAGGTTGCTCCACTGGACCGCGGCGGATTGTGGCAACTTCGCCCAGACGCACAAACTCGATGGAACCAGGGCGACCGATGCGCATTTCACCAATGGCCTGTTCGGTTTCAAACGCATTGGTATGGGCCAGTCGCAAGCGTCGATCTCCGTAGGCTACCGACGCTGCAGGCATCACCTGGTTTTCCTCGCCGATGCTGCGAAAGACTGCATCTGTCGGCAACCCCAGGCGCACCAGCTGTTCGTGATTAAGCTCTACAAACAACGCCTCTTCCGGTACGCCCGAAGTACTGACTTTGGCAACATGTTCTACGGTGTTCAGACCCGTTTCCAGCAGACGGGCAAAATCACTTATTTCATTTTCAAGATAGCCCGTTGCGAATACGGCATAGAGAATGCCGTAGACATCGCCAAAATCATCTTCGACGATGGGACCTTGAGTCCCGGGTGGCAGCCGCATAGCCGCTTCACTGACCCGTCGACGCAGCTCATCCCATATCTGCTGCACATCGTCGTCGTCGTAGCGCTCTTGAATCTCAACCTGAACTTCCGATCGACCCGGCAGCGACTTTGACGTAAGCCGCTTGATATAAGGCAACTCCTGCAAGGCAGCCTCTATTACGTCAGTGACTTCCTGCTCAGTTTCGGTCGCAGAAGCGCCTGGATAAACAGTAACTACATAAGCCTGCTTGAGTGGAAATTTAGGATCCTCAAGGCGTCCAACCTTGTCGATACCATAGAGGCCACCTGCTATACAGGCGATGATGAGGAGCCAGGGATACAGCGGATAGTCGATGGACAGCCGGGCGAGATTCAATGAAATGGCCGGGAAGTCAAAGTTGCGTCTCAGGTTCGCCGAGCGGACGAATTTTCATTCCTTCCTGGAGCTGACTGGCGCCTGCACCAACCACCAGCTCACCGACTTCGAGACCGTCGGCGATGCCTATTCCTCGCCCTCCGGGTTCTGCAAGGATAACCCTACGCCGGCTCACGCTCTGAGTATCGGGATCATATATCCATACAAAGAAATGACCATCAGGGGCACTGACAAGGGCAGTCGGGGGAATTGCGATCTGTAATTGAGTACTGTCTGCTTTAAGCGCAATTTGTACGAGCGCAGTCATGCCCGGTAGAAGATTGCTCTGGGGAGGCCTGTCCATGGTGAATGTCACCATAAACGTTTGCGCCACAGCGTTTGCTTCTCCAGTGTTTTCTCGATAGGTCAACGGAAATTTCTGTCCGGGCAGAAAATCGAATGTTGCGGTCATCGATATCACACGTTCAGGCGTAACCGTTGCCACCAACTCTTCCGAGAGACTAACAATAACTTTTAGTTCACTTAGATCTGAAAGACGAACAATTTTGTCGCCGTTTCTGACTTTTGTTCGATTGTCTACATATCTACGGGCCACAAAAGCATCGAAGGGTGCGAAAATTCTGCTCTTATCCAAACGTTCTTCCGCCTGCGCAAGCCGAACTTGGCTCAGATCATGGGTTGCTTGTGCATCATCTACAGCCGATTGAGATATACCGCGCTCTCGAAAGAGAGACTCCTTGCGATTTAAATCCTGGCTGGCTAAACGTAACTGAACCTGCGCCTCACGCACCGCCAGCTCAAAATCTGTAGGGTCTAACGCAGCAACCAAAGTACCTTTACTTACGGCCTGCCCCTCGCGCAGCGGAAGCCTGAGCAGAGCACCATCTACTTCAAAAGAAACATCCAGAGTTTGTGCGGCATCCAGCTTGCCAATAAACTGATGGTTGACGATATTTTGATGCCCGCTGATCTCAAACAGCTTTGCCGGGCGTACAGCTTGATCCACCACCGATGCTACATTTCGTTCACACCCAACAAGCCAGCAGACGATAAAAACACTGCCCCAAAATTTCACGCGGCATGCACCTTGGCAAGTTCGAGCAATTGTTTGTGCAGGCCATTGCGCTCTGCACGCGACAGAGGCAATAACTTCAGCATCTCCAGGAAGCGCAGACCTTCAACCGCCAACAGCAGAATCCAACCTATCTCCAGTGCTTCACTTCCATCTCCAGCTTCTTTGAAAGCTGTGCGAACTTCCTGCCGCGCTGGCGTAAGCATCTCGGGGTTTTCTGCCGCGGCAGCAAGGATTGCTCGAGACATCGCTTTTTGCTCAGGCGTCTGCTCGTGCTGTTCGATGATTCTGGCGATCAGTGCGACGTTTTTTTCGTCAGCGTTGGCATCTCGGTAAGTACGTGTGCGCGTTGTTATCTGTTCGACAAGGCACTCCAGCATGCCTTCAAGCAAAGCCTGTTTTGAAGGAAAGTGATACAACACCCCGCCTTTGGAAACCGCCGCCGCTGTCGCCACCGCGTCTATGGTTAGATGCGCTGCACCGGACCTTTCAACAATTCGAGCCGCCGCAGCTAATATAGCTGCACGCTTGTTTTTCGCGGCACTGCTTTTCTCCGCCATTCTCGCCTACATAGCTAAACCGTCCAGACGGTACAGTAACTGAGTTGCTCAAAAATACCAATCCTATGCTTCTTGCTGACCAGGCGGGCTTCGGCACGACGGTTCTCCTGCCGGCGTCTGTGCGCTAGCGGTCTGTGCGAATAGACAATTGATACTGACGGGACCAGAATTGGACCCTCAATAATTTCAGGTGCTAAACATGCCCCTATCGCGAAAACTGGCTCTTGACGACACGCAGATAGAAGAGATCATGACCACTTGCTGGAACTGTAGAATCGCCACCATCGGTCCAGCGAACCGTATCAACCTCACCCCTATGTGGTTTGGTTGGGCAGGCGGCAAAATATACATCTACGGTCGAGGCCAGAAAGTAGCCAACCTGCGCCGCGATCCAACCTGCACAATCATCGTCGACCGCAATGAAAAATTTCCAGAGCTACAGGCGGTCATGCTGCAGGGTCAGGCCCAAGTGCTTGAAGACGCGGATGCCGAAAATGCCGACTCCCACCTTGCCGAAGCACGCATACAGATGGGACGTAAATACAACGGCGGCCATGGCCAACCTGCAGTGCAGGATCCTCCTCCTAACAACGCATCCGCGCGTGGTGCAAATGGCCGTTGGATGGTCTTCAGCCCGGACGTTCAGATAACCTGGGACAACTTTAAACTGGCGAGCTTGGGCCGATAGCACCATATCGAAACAGGGCAAAGCGGATTAAGTAGCAGCGGGAATCACAATGGCCTCACCACTTGCCAACCCGCTTCTTACCTCTACCTGGTCAGCTTCTGTTTTCCCCAGCCGCACAAATCTACGCTGGTCAGACCCGGTGCCCCGCACATAGACAAAGGTGAGCTGCCCTGCCCGCTGCACAGCGCTGGCTGGAATCCATATGTTTTCCTGTTCTGCGACGGGAATTGACAATCTGGCGAACATGCCCGGAAACATACCGGTTGCATTGGAGAGTCTGGCTTTCAATACAAACGTCCGCGATGTCGGGTCTGATGACGGCACAATCTCTTCAACTACGGCGACCAGTTTATCCCCCATAGCATCAACGTAAGCTTCAAGCTCTGTGCCCAATTGCACATAACCAATCAAAGACTCTCTGAGCGTCGCTTCTATACGCATCTGTCCGGGATTAAAAATTTTAAGCAGCGGTTGTCCCGGCGAGGCCATATCGCCCGCTTCAGCAAAATGTTCTACCACCGTACCGCTCATAGGGGCACGTATGACGGCATAGTTCATTGCCGCTTTCGCTTCTGCCACCGCTCGCTGGGCGGCCTCTTCGAAAGCAGCAGCACGACGGGTTGCCGTCACCGCCTGATCCAACGCAGCGATGGACACATTGCCCTGAGCCCGCAGCGATTCAGTTCGAGTCTGATAGAGCTGTGCTTCCTCGAGCGCGGCTTTCGCAGCTGCAGCTTCCTGCACACGCTGTTCAAGCACCGCAAGCAATGCCTCATTATCTAACTCAATCAGCACATCATCTACACTGACCGAATCACCAGCTCTGACATTGACACGAAGAATAGTGGCCATGATTCGCGAAGCTAAAATGGTGTCGCTGGTGGCCTGTATCGTGCCGGCGACCTGTTCTATCGCAGGCTTCATATCTGCCACAGCGGTAACAACAGATCCCGGTATTTGTATGATCTTTACTTCTGTAGATTGCGGAATTTTTGCATGAAACACGCCAGCAAAATAAGCTAACAGCAAGCCCAACGCCACGATAGACAAGACAAAGAAACCGTATTTGACGTATATCTTCACGTGTTCTCTCCATAAACAAGCTGGTAAACCACCGGTACGATAAACAGGGTGAAGGCGGTTGACGCAAGAACCCCGAAGATAACCGCCCAGGCGAGGCCGCTGAATATGGGGTCCAGTGTAATTACGAGATTACCCAGCATGGTTGTACCCGCTGTCAGTAAAACAGGTCGCGCGCGGGCTAACCCTGAATTAACCAATGCCTGCGTCAGCGGCGCCCCGCGAGCCAGATCCTGTTGCACAAACTCCACCAGCATCAGCGAATTGCGCACCACGATACCGGCAAGCGCAATCATGCCGATCATCGCTGTTGCGGTGAAAAGTACAGGATCGGCATATTCTCCAACTTGACCACTTGCCACCATATTCAGAAACCAGAAACCCGGCATGATGCCTACGGCTGTCAGGGGTATGGACAACATGATGATCCCTGTCAACGCAGACAGACTGGTTTGCAGGCGTACAACAACAAAAATACCAAGAATCGCCACAGCAAATGCGATGCCTAAATCACGAAAGACGCGCAAAGTAATATCCCACTCCCCTTCACCTGCCCAGGTCAGGTTTACACCTGCAGGCAAATGCCAGGCCAGCCCGCCGCCTGGTGAAAAATAAGTTCGCTGTTTCACGTCACGCGGTAGTGTTGTCGAGCCAGCGTGCAAATCCCGATCCGCATCTATGTCATAAATAATGGCAGCCGGTACCCGCCCGGCCACCTCGGCAAAGGTATACGTCACTCGCTGCAGATCTTTGTGATAAACCGGCTGATCTCGTGCCAGGGTCTGCATGGATCCCAGCTCACCCAGAGCCACCATGGGCGTGGGTGCATTAGTGACGCCGCCACGACCGCGAACTTTTGCGATTCCTGGCAGACCTTCCACCTGCAAAGAGGCAATCTCGCTGCGCCGCGCATAAGGCACGCCTACAACAACAGGTAAAGGGTTCACCTCATCTTCTACTCCAGCGTAGGTGACCGTGCGCCCATCTATCGCCACGCTTAACGCAGTGGCGATGGTTTGCGAGCTGATACCCGACAGTCCGGCTTTCTCCTGATCAGGCACAAATACATGCCGCAGAGACGGCTCAGCAGCACTGACATCAACATCCACAACGCCAGGTTCCTGACGGAGCCTCGCCGCAGTAAAAAGAGATGCATCAATCAACGTCTGGTAATCCGTCGTCGGGGTGCCGTAGTGTTCAGCAACAAGCGTGGCCACAACAGGCGGACCCGGCGGCACTTCGACCAGCTTTACAACAACGCCATGCGCTTGTGCGATTAACGCCAGTTCTGGTCTTAGACGCAGAGCAAGCGCATGGGATTGATCTGACCGGGCCAGCTTATCCGCCAGGGTCACCCGCAATTCCGCCTCATTAGGGCGTCCGCGCAGGTAGTAGTGTCGCACCAGCCCGTTGAAGTCCATGGGTGAGTGTGAACCACTGAAAGTGCTGACCGTACGAACTTCGGGTACGTTCTGCAGATACGTCGCAATGTTCGCAACGACGGCTTCTGTGTTTTCAACAGACATCGATTCTGGTGCATCAACGACAATCTGAAATTCGTTTTTATTGTCGTAAGGTAATAATTTTAGCGGTACCAGACGCAACAGCGGCAATGACAATGCGAGTACAAACAGCAGAGCGGTAACACCGAGAAATATCCAGGATTTCCGACGACTGCCCAGCATGGGTCGCAGCAGGCGCTCGTATACACCGTAAAGACCATCACGACTGATGGGTTGTCCTCCGGGTTTAGGTTTAAGCAACAAACTACCCAGCCAGGGTGTAACAAGGAAAGCCACAACGGTGCTCATTACCACCGCAATTGGCACATTAAAAGCCATAGGCGACATATAGGGGCCCATCATCCCGGTGATGAAAGACATAGGCGCAAAGGCAATGATTACAGCAAGCGTAGACATGAGCAGGGGCATGCGTATCTCGCTCATGGCGTTAACAATATCGGAACCCGACGAAGTAGTACGCCCAAGATGGCGCTCGATGTTATCTACACCGGTGATCGGATCATCAACCAGCAATCCCAATGCCAGAATCAGCGCAAACAACGTCACTCGATTAATGGTGTAGCCGGCAAAATAGCCTAACGTGAGCGTCAAGCCGTAACAGATGGGTACTGCAAGCGCGACCACTAAAGCCGCCCGCCAGCCGAGAATAAAACCAATCAACACCACAACCGTTGCCACCGCCACGCCAAGACTGGAAACCAGATCTCCAATCTTCTGATCCGCGGTGGCACCATAATCGCGGGTGGTTTCGAAATGCACCCCAGCCGGAAACAGTTCACGTGCAGCTTTATTTAAATGTTCACCCAGATCCTGCGCCACTTTGACCGCATTGCTGCCTTTTTTCTTGGCTATCGCAATATGCACAGCAGGATACTGCTGCGCCCCGTGCTGGGCATGAGCAGGTCCGAAGCCAATCCAATGATAGCTGGTTGGCGCCGGTGGCCCGTCAATCACATCAGCCACATCTTCCAGGGGCACAGGCACACCATCGAGGACATTCACCGTCAGCTGGGCCAGCGTGTTTATGTCCCGGATACGCGCATCGGTTTCAACAATTATTTCCTCATTAGCCAATTGCAGGTTACCGGCAGGACTTCGAATGTTTGAAGCCGACAGCGCAAACAGAATGTCCGCAATATCTGTCTGGCGGGCAACCATAGCGGTAGGGTCCAGGTCGACACGAAACTCTCTGGTACGCCCGCCTATCACCTCAATGCGGTTCGTATCGGTTACTGCCTGCAGGGAAATGGCCAATTCATCAGCCAGCCGGCGCAACTCATAATCATCAATTGCCGGGGTATCACTCCACAACGTCGCAATGACAATGGGTACGTCATCAATCTCAACGGGTTTAATCACCCAACTGGCGACAGCCTGGGGAATGAGGTCCTGATTGGAAAATATTTTGTTATATAACTTTACCAGCGAATCTTCGCGATCTTCACCGACATAAAACCGAGTGGTGACCACCGCTCCACCATCTTCGGAGGTGGAATAGACATGCTCTACTCCATCGATCTGGGTGAGAATCTTTTCCAGCGGCGTTGTGACAAGGCGCTCCACCTGGCGGGCGCTGAGTGTTGGTGCCGAAATGATAATGTCAGACATCGGCACCACGATTTGCGGCTCTTCCTCTCGTGGTGTTTGCAGCAACGCAAAAGTACCCATGCCCAAAGCGGTAATCAAAACCAGCACAGGAAGGCCGCCACTCAAACTGGCGGAGACAATACGGGGAATCAATCCTACTTTTTCAGCCATACCTGAGCAGATCTATTTAGAAAACAGACGCTACCACAGGACGTCTACACCTGAGAGTAAGGACATTCCACAGGCGGCCACTGCAAAACCGTGAAGTCAGGTGATACGCAGCGTCGATTCTATGCCTATCCAGCCAACATTGGCTAACCTCTGGATTAACCCAGGCGTTTTGAAAACCGTAATGTTGCTGCAATTAAGCCAACGGCAAAAAACAAGGCCAACGGCCATATCTCACCCACCATCTGCACAAGCGATGCGTCACGCAGAACGATCCCGCGTACAATGCGGAGGAAATGGGTGAGGGGAAATATTTCTGACAGTATCTGCGCTGCCCTTGGCATGCCTTCAAAAGGAAACATAAAACCTGACAAAAGTAGCTGGGGTAGAAATGTGACAAACGTCATCTGGAAGGCCTGGAATTGACTGGTTGCCAAAGTAGAAATAAACAACCCAAGGGTCAGCACACTGAGCACAAAAATACCTACACCGAGATAGAAGTCAGTCAACGATCCGCGTATCGGTACGTCGAATAAAGTTGCCCCTAAAAAGAGTATTAGAGTCACCTGGATAAAGCCAATGAGAATATACGGTGCGATCTTACCAACCATCAATTCAAGCGAGCGAACGGGCGTTGCAATCAACAGTTCCAGATTGCCGCGCTCCCGCTCGCGCACAATGGCAATCGAAGTAAACAACACCATTGTCAGCGTTAATATCACACCACACAAACCAGGGACGATGAACATTGCAGAACGACGTTCAGGGTTGTACAACGCGCGTATTTCGAATGTCTGATGTTCATCAAGCTGATTGGGAACAGCCATCGGCAAGTTAGCTATACCGCGCGCAGCGGCCAATAAAGTTGGGTCACTGTCATTGATCAGTAATTGCGCAAAGGGTTTAGCATTACGCGCACGACGCCGTTCGAAGTCTGCCGGGATATATATCCCAACGGCTATTTTGCCTTTGACCATTTCCTGCTGCATTTCCCAGGGCGAACTCATGGGAATTAAAGTGTCGATGACCTGACTGGCGCGCGCCTGATTAATCAGCGCACGTGAAGCTGAAGTGTTGGCTTCGTCTACAACCGCAGCGGTAAGGTTGCGTACGTCGTTGTTGATGGCGTATCCAAAAAGCAATGTCATGACAATGGGTATGCCTGCTATCAAGCCACCAGTAAGACGGTCACGTCGTAAGTGATTCAGTTCTTTGGTCGCAATCGCCCATATTCGCCGCAGCGCAATCATGCTGCTGTATCTACAGGGTCTTCGCGGGTCGCCATGACAAAGACATCCTCCAGACTCGCACGGATGAGTTTGAGCTGGGCCGGCAATTCAGCCTGGACAAGCATCTGTTGCAGATAATCTACCGGGTCTTTGATTGTCAGCTCAACTAACGCATGGAGCCTGGCACCTAGTTGCGCCACGTCAATGACGTTAGTGTCGGCCAACAGGGTTTGCCGCACGGTGCGGGCATTATTCGCCTCTATTTCTACGACGTGCGCGGACAGATTATCCATCATGTCGCTAGGCCCGCCTTCCGCGACCAGCGCACCTTCATTCAGAATAGCCAGGGCATGACAGCGCTCAGCTTCGTCCATGAAATGAGTGGTCACCAGTACGGTTGTGCCGGTGTCGACCATATCAAACAGAAACTCCCAGAACTCACGCCTGCTTTCCGGATCAACGGCACTTGTTGGTTCATCCAAAAACAGCAGTTCCGGCTCATGCAGGGTAGCGCCCGCGAGCGCGAGTCTCTGGCGTTGGCCGCCACTCAAAGTGCCGGCCATCTGACGCGAGATGCTCTGCAGAGAGAAATTCTCCAATTGCGCCTGGATACGCAACTTACGCTGTGCCTTGTTAAGTCCGTAGATCTGCGCCAGAAAATTCAGGTTTTCACCAACTGTAAGGTCGCCATACAGAGAAAACTTCTGGGTCATGTAGCCAATGCGTCGTTTTATGGCTTCAGCATCTTTCATGACGTCCATACCGAGGACCTGTGCTGTACCGGCATTAGGTGCTAACAAACCACACAACATACGTATGAGCGTTGACTTCCCGCAACCATTTGGACCTAAGAACCCATAGATACTGCCTTTGCCAACATTCAGAGACACATCGTTTACTGCAGTCAGATCCCCAAATTTACGCGTTAATCCCTGGGTGACAATAACGGTATCAGTCATCTGCCAGGCCGCGGAACGTGACTTCAACCGGTATGCCTACTGGCAGGTTATCGGCAGGTTCCACGACGTCAATTTCGGCAACGTAGCTCAGGCGTGACCGGTCGTGCTGGTTCAGCGAGAAATAGGGTGTGAAGGCTGCACGGCTGGATACCCAACGTAATTTGCCCGTGAGCGGGTCCGGGTGTCCATCCAGTAGGATGGAGGCTTCGTGCCCCGGCTGAAGGACAGCACGCAGAGGCTCGGAAATATGCACACGTGCATAGGTAGGCCCTTCGGCAAGCATGATTAATACGGTGGCACCGGATGGAGGGCGTTCACCAATTTCGAAAGGCAGAGATTCAATTGTGCCGCTAACAGGAGCAATGATGTCCGCTCGGGCGAGCGTTATTTCCAGATTCTGCAGATTAGCCAGCGCCGCGGCATGGTGCGCGCGTGCCTGGTCGATTTCTTCAGAACGGGTGCCTTCCAGCAATTCGTCCAGCACGGCTTGTGCTTCAGCCTGGCGCGCAACGGCTTCGTTATATTTACCTTCGGTGATATCAATGGTTGCTTTTGAGATCAGCTGTCGATCTAACAGCGCAAGTTCGCGATCAAGTTCTGCGCGCAGAGTTGCAGTGGCACTTTCAGTAGCCGTCAATCGAGACCGCGCCTGAGTGATCTGTTGTTGTCGTGGGCCTTTCTCAGCCTCAGCCAGAGTTGAGCGCGCAACCGCAACTTCAGCCTGCGCTCGCTTCAGGGCCACTTGTGCACGAGCAGCATCCTGAGTAAGCAAAATTTCACCAGCCTCGACGCCCTGACCTTCAACAACAAATATTCTCAGTATAGGTTCATTGGATTCAGCAATAAGTTCAATACGATCCCGCTCCAGCGTACCCAGAGAAGCAACCTGGTCAGATGCGTTGCCACAACCGGAAAAGACGCTGATACCGCACGCAATAATCATCCCCAACAGACCTCTTGTGTTGGATGTATATCGCAAAGGGTTAGCCTAATGTCCTGGCTGAAAGATTGTCTGTCATTTCGCGACACCGGCTCATTCAGAATGGGCATCATACCTGAACATTGCTGCGGGCACATAGGCTGCCACCACTGAAAGTGGTTATCAAATGCAGCTGGCAGAGCCGAAGCGCTGACAGCGCTTCATTCTAAAATTTACTGCCCACGCAACAGGGACGCGGGTTGCAGATGCAGCCGACGCATCAGGTAACCGGCACCTGCATAGAGACACACAGAGCTGACGCCAAAGGCAGCAACTACCGCCGGCCATACAGGAAACGCAAGGGGTAATCGCAGCTGAAAATGCAACATCGGCAACGCAATCAATATGCCGAGTACCAGGGCAAAAAGAGAAGTTACTAACGCTAACAGCACATACTCCATGCCAAGGCTCAGGCGCACAACGCTGAGACGTGCGCCAAGTGTGTGAAGAATGGTGGAGTAATAAACCTGCCGCGAGCGGTGGCTCGCCATAACACCCGTCAGCACCAGCAGACTCACAGAAAACGCAACAGCTGAAACCACAACCAGCCCCGCCACCGCGTTGCCTAGCAGATTTTTGGCGGTGGCGACCAGGGTGGCGGTTCGTACCGACACAACATTGGGTGCTATCCCTGCAATTTGAGTTTGCGCGACAATGGCTTTGTCCGCGGGCATATAACTGGCGCCCACGTAGCGGGAGATGAACGGGTCCAGCACGCCATCAGACAGAATGGCTTCAAACCAGAAGCGCGTCTGCAGGCCTTTCTGCCGAAATATACCAGTTAGTTCAGCCTCCAATTGTCTGCCCTGAATGTCGAAGGTCAGCAGATCTCCAACCTGCAAACCAATCTGGTTGGCTTCGCGATCTTCCATCACCACCCAGGCACCCTCACCCGACGCGCCTTCCGGCCACCAACTACCCTGCACCATAGTGACCCCATCAATGTTGCCAGCGCGATAGGTCAGTTTATGTTCGTCTCGCGCCTCGCGCTGAGCTTCGAGGCTGCTTTCTGAGTCTGGCGTAGCGCCATTAACCGCCGCAAGTCGCCCTTGAACCAACGGCGCCATATCCACTCGTACCGCATTCTGTTCCTGCAGAATCGCACTCACCTCTTGTCGTTGGTGTGGTGCAACGTCGTACATCACGAGATCCGGAGATTCTTCCGGGATGGTGCTGGCGATTGTTTCCAGAAGCGTTGAAATCAATACTGTGCACGCTACTAACAGGGTCAGCGCCGAGCCCAGAGTCAGCAGAGAGGCACGCAGTGCAGAGCCGTGGCGGTGCAGGTTGGCAAGCGCCAGATGCAGCGCAAAATAGCGCCGCGTCGGTGCCTGGCCATCCATTCTGAGTGCTATTCGCCTGATCAGGCGCACAACGCCTTCGAGCATGACAAGCAATCCCAGCACGGTTGCGACAAAAGACAGGGCAAAGATCGGATCAGGCAACACAAACAATACAAGCAGGACAACTAAAGCAGCGCCACACAGTGTTGCCAGCCACCAGGCTCGAGGTGTACCCGTTTCAACACCATCAAGGCTTCGAAAAAGCACGGCAGGATCTACCGACAACGCACGACCGATGGCAGGCGCTGCAAACGTCATAGCGGTCAGCAAACCAAACAGAGCCGCAAGCAAACCGGGTAGAATTGCACTGTACACCACGGTGTCGATCTGAACCTGGGTGGCGGCGAACAAAGCCCCCACAAATGACAGCAGAAAACCCAGCACGGCGCCGACAAAACAGGAAAGACCACTCATTATCAGGATCTGCAGCAGGTAAACAACCGCAAGAGAGCGGTCTCTTAGACCTACTGAGCGCAGCGTAGCAATTGTACCGAGCTTATTCTGCAGGTAAGCCTGCACGCTATTGAAGACACCCAGCCCACCGATAAACAGCGTGCTGAAACCGACAATCAACAAAGCTGATCCCGCTTGAGCTAACCGTTCTCCTATGCGGTCGCTACGATCCATAAAGGTGCTGACTTCCCAATTGGTATCGGGAAACATCGCAAAAAAAGCTCTCTGCCACTCGCCTGGATCCTGCTCAGTTCGCACGCGATATTCATATTCCACACGACTGCCGGGCTGCAACAAGCCTGCATCAGCAAGCGCATCTGCAGAGATCATAACCGGGCTGCTACGCCAGCTTGCACTGAGGCTGCGATCCGGCTGTTCGGTGATCAACGCACGTACTTCAAATGACAATTCACCAATCTCAACCTCATCACCCGCGCTGATGCCCAGGCGATCAGCAAGTACCGGATCCATGGCGAGACCAAACTGGCCACCGTTGTTCTGCGTCACTTCCACCAGAGGTAAAGAAGGATTAAGAGTTAACTCGCCATACAGCGGATAATGTTCGTCAACACTCAGCACCTCCACCAGCTGAAGGTCACCGGAGGCGGTGGCCATCATGGTGTCCATTTCAACAAGCAGCGACACCTGTCCCCGCGCCGCCATCCAGTTGATGGCTTCAATTGGCAGACGAGAGCGTGATTCCACCTGCAGATCCCCTCCGCTCAACTTCCGACTATCGGTCTGCAGCCCCTCTCTGATCTGCTGATAAAGACCACCGGTTGCGGCGACCAGGGTGACACCGAGCACCAGGCAGGCACACAGAATCCACAGCGACTGACCACTGCCGCGCAGGTCCTGCCAGGCAAACTTAAGCAGAAAACGCATGTTTCTGCCCCTCTACCAGAGCGCCGCCGTCCAGACGTAACTGTCGATCACAACGCATTGCCAGAGACTCATCATGAGTAACCAGGACCAGGGTGCTACCTGAGTTCGCATGCAGCTCGAACAGCAGATCGCTGATGGCACTGCCCGTGTCTTTATCCAGGTTACCCGTGGGTTCATCAGCCAGCAGCAGTGGCGGCGAGTGCACCAGCGCTCTGGCAATGGCAACACGCTGCTGTTCGCCGCCGGAAAGCTGCATCGGATAATGGGATTCGCGATGATCAAGACCTACACGCCGCAGTGTCTCTCTGGCCTTCGCGCTGCCATCCGGGTCTCCCGCAATCTCCAACGGCAGAGTGACATTACCGAGAGCGGTCAGGCTCGGAATCAGATGAAAGGACTGAAAGACGATGCCCATCCGATCTCTGCGCAGATCCGCCAGTTCGTCAGCAGACAGCGCGTCCAGTTGCGTGCCCTGAATCTCAATGCTGCCTGAGGCAGGATGATCAAGTCCGGCCAACAGCAACAGAAGTGTTGTTTTGCCTGAACCCGACGGACCGATGATCGCCACGCTCTCGCCAGCCTTTATCTCGAGACTGACGCCTTTCAGGACTGATACCCGGGATTGCTCAACCGCGTAGCTCATACTTACATCTTTCAGTTTGATCATCTTCTTTCCAATATCTCCATACAACAAACTACATGGACCGCATCAAGCCCGCCATTAAGGACCTAACCGAATCATCAGCCGCACCAACTGCCGGCCCGACCGATTGACGCAATCGCGGCTACGACGACACAGACTAACCGAGGCCGTCTAAGGCTTTGATGAACGCCTCGATAGAGTACGGTTTGCGAATCAAGGGTTCTTGCAGGGCACTCTCTGTCTGCTCAGGGACATAACCCGAGACGAACAGGATACGCACATCGTCCGAAAGCTCCCGGACAGCTGCTGCAACCTCCTGACCGCTCATCTGAGGCATAACAAGATCAAGCACAAGCAGACGGATTTCATCCTGCCGCGCTTTGTAAAGATCCAACGCCTGCTTGCCGTCTGACGCCGCGCAGGTCTCATACCCTACTTTCTCCAGAATCTTGCACGCGAGGTCTAACAGCTGAGTGTTATCGTCAGCAACAAGAACCAGCCCACCGCGGGTACTCGCTTCGCGCGTCATCGTGGGCGCAGTCGACTCACCGGCTGCTCCAGACTCACCCAGCTCATTTGTAGAGAGCGGCAAATAAACGGAAAAGCAGCTGCCTTCGCCAAGTGTCGAGTCAACGGTTATGGTGCCGTTGTGGGCTTCAACAATACTGTAACAGTTTGCCAGGCCCAGCCCCGTACCCGTGGCAATTTCCTTGGTTGTGAAGAATGGGTCGAAAATACGGGGCAATACCTGTGCTTCAATGCCTTGACCATTGTCCTCAACTGTTATCAGGACGTAGTCGCCAACAACCGGTTGAGTGTCGAGCCCCAACCCAACATGATCAACCGTTTGCCGAGCTGCTTTTATCTGGATACGTCCCTTCGACTCCATGGCATCACGTGCGTTGAAGCACAAGTTGAGCATAACCTGTTCGAGCTGCGAGCGGTCGCCGAACACAGACAGCTGTGAATCTGCAGGTATCACGGTGAGATCCACAGATGCCGGGAGAGTGTGGTCGAGCAGAGCCTGCAACTCTTGTAAAAACTCGTTGATGTCGAACACCTCGGGACGTGCCACATCCTGGCGACTGAGCGTCGCGAGTTTCTTGGTCAGATTCATGGCTCGTGTACCGACATCACGTACGTTCTCCAGCGCGATTCGCGTCTCGGCATCGTGTTTGTCGCTGAGCAACAGGAATTCCATATTACCAAGGATAACCTGCAGCAAATTGTTGAAGTCATGTGTAATCCCCCCGGCTAACTCCCCCATTGCGCGCATTTTCTGCGAGTGTGCAACACGCTCTTCAAGACGCTTGATGTCGGTGACATCGCGGCCAACGGCTGTTATGCCTACCAGCTCGCCCTGGTCGTCGAGTACCGCACGATTCGACCACGCCAGCCAGCGCCAGCCGTCTTTTGTCATGGCGCGCTGTTCGTGATACGTCGTGTGCGGTGGATCGCTCAAGCGCTGCAGCGACCGTTCCGTTCGTTCACGATCATCTTCATGCACAAGGGGCAGGAAGGTCTTACCAAGCAATTCGGCCTCGCTTTTCCCGAACAAGTCACAATAACTCGGACTGATGTACTGAAATTCTCCCTCCGTGTTGACCTTAACCACAAGATCGGTCTGGTTCTCTACGAGCAAACGATACTCATCCTCACGTGCCTCAATATCGCGCTGTTTTACCAATGCATAGCGTAGTGCCAGCGTGAGTAGTGTTGTCAGCAAGACCCCCAAACCAATCCAGATCTCGTCGAGGAAGTCGTCGGTCGCCGCCAGGTAACTTGTCAGCGGGGCAATTGTGAAGCGCCAGGGACTGTCAGCGACATTTATTGGCAGGTTGATCTGGTAAGGGCTGATCGCCGCCACAAGTGGATCGGCTTGTTCGTAAAATACTGAGCCGCCATCGATAAGGTCAAAAGCGAAATTCTTTCGCAGCCGTCCCTCCGGCAGACACGAGGTCATCAGCGCTTCAACGCGGAACACGCCATTGACATAACCCAATGGCTGTCCAGCAACTCCAAGCATTGGCTGGTACAGCGCAAAGCCCTTACCACCCTGTAACAGCTCAATGATGTCCGTGCGCGCCACGCCACCATTTGCTCCCGCACGCTCAAGCGCGCCCAGAACCGACGCATTAGGATTCGACTTCAGGTTGGCGTCAAGCGCAGCGCGATTGGGTTCTATGGGGTAGATGACTCGGATGACGCCTTCCGTATCGACAAAATTGAGTGCCTGAACGCCTGTATACAACGGCAACAATGCACTGGCACGCTCAGGCCAGTCCGAGATAATCTGCTCGTTTGATTGCCATGGGTAACTGGCCAGTGTGCCCACCAGAGCGGCACGCGCATCGAAGCATGATTCTATACGGAGCTTGAGCTGCTCGGCGGTGATGCGGGTTTCGAGACCAATACGTTCGGCGTTGTTACGTTTACCAGCAAACCCCAGCCACATCACAAGCAGCAAGCCGAGGAGCAAAAATCCCAAAGGCACCCAATTGTGACGGAGTTTCAGTTTGCTCAATAGTAGGTCTGACTCGCTGATTTATCTTTCGAGTATTCGTTGACTGTAGAATTTGCTAATCCAAGTACCAGCCCCGCTGGCGGCAAACCCCTGATCAGTCTAGCAACCTATGCTATCTAAGCAACAACGGCCCCTAAAAAGCGGCCTTGATACAGTTCACTCAAATTCAGGAAGACTTGTCGCTTATCGAACTCACCCAAACAGGAGAAGACCAGGCACTTTCCTGAATCATCAAGCCATTATCCGGACAGCGGTGAGTCGTCGGCTCAACCGCCAATCCGTCCGAGCAGGCAACATCAAATATCTGCTCGCAGGGTGCGCCGTCCTCAAGCCAGCCCTTGATGATCTGCACACGTTGCAACGGTGCCGATTGTGCATCCCGGGCTGCCCAGACGATAAACGCAGGGGCATCGCCGGACCTTGCCATCAGGTCTCCACCCATCGACACACCCTGGGTATAAGCACGAGACATACCATCCGTTGTATCGAGCATGGCAGGGTCGAGATCATACCCGGCAAAAAAACGCACCCGTATCCGCGGGCCGCACGCACCATAAACCGAAGTGTTACGGTGAATATAGCGCCTGCCATCCGACGCGACATAGAACGCTGAGTCATCAGCATCCGTCAGCTGGAGAGTCTGCAGATGCTCATCGGAGATGGGGGTCGATCTCGAAGCCGGCCCACTCATCGTTCAACGACAAAGCCGGGTGTGTTTCCGAGGTGCCTTTGACCTGGGTGATTTCCACCAGCGGTTCATTGCGCATGCGCTGTTCGTTGTGCGCCAGGGTCATCGGGTCACCTGCCCAGTTTGCCAGTTCGAACATCTGCCCATTGGATTTGTTGGAGTTGTGCGGGATCGCCAGACTCTCAACGCCCTTGCCTCTCAAGTTGTCCATCCAGTTCCATAAATCCGCTGGATCAAGTGACATGAGCCGACTGAACCCGCCGATAAACGTGCGAACATTTTGCGCAGGTATGCTTTCCAGTGTCAGGTTCTCCGGCGCATTAGGATTGTGGATCGATTTCATCGCCGGATAGTTGGAGATTTCAGTTGTGGTGTCAGCCCCTGCCCGAACCACGCCAAGATAAAACCCGTGATCGGTTACCGCCTAAATCCAGTGGCCGGTCGAGCTGCATATCAAAGCCACCCGGGTGTCTGATAGCCTCGCCCTGGGAGTAGCGATAGGCATCATCGGGGGTCGCCAAAGTAGGCATAACGTTCAAGCCCCGGCAAAGATACTTCAGTGGAACCGCGCCCCGTCGGCTCTGTGGATTCGGATGCCACTTCGCTGCCGGCAGCGCTTTCGCAAATTTTACCCCGCTCCCAATTATTCCCGTAAACTGTCGCTTTACTTACATAGAGAGATTCATAGTGGAATTTGATGATGTCCTCCTCGGCCGCCGCAGTATTCGAGGTTATAAACCCGACCCGGTGCCAAAAGCACTGATTAAAGAAGTTTTAGCACTGGCCATGCGTTCGCCGTCATCGATGAACACACAACCGTGGAATTTCACCGTCGTCTCCGGCGAACCTTTAAACCGCATTCGCGCCGGTAACACGGAACGGAATCTCGCAGGTGTGCCACATTCGCGTGAATTTCGCATCGGACAGGCTTTTGCAGGACAACATCGCGACCGTCAGGTTGGCGTTGCCAAACAGTTGTTCGCTGCCATGGGTATTGAGCGTGAAGACAAAGAAGGTCGCCAGGACTGGGTGCTGCGCGGTTTCCGCCAGTTTGATGCACCTGTTTGTGTGATTATTACTTATGACCGCGTGCTGGCAGACAGCGATGACACGGCTTTTGATTGTGGCGCAGTAACAACAGCGCTGGTAAACGCGGCCTGGTCACGTGGCCTGGGTGCGGTGATCAACAGCCAGGGCATTATGCAATCGCCGGTGGTGCGCGAGCATGCAAATATCGCGGAAGATCAGGTGATCATGAAGGCTGTTGCGCTGGGCTGGCCGGATGAAGATTTTCCGGCCAACGCGGTAGTCTCAGAACGCAAGAGTGTTGATGAAGCTGCACGCTTTTTAGGCTTTGACGACTGAGCAGCAACTTGTTACCCAAACGTTGTTTCTAAAGCAGATAAGGGGCGTGAATCGCCCCTCACTGATTGATTCAGAGAAAATGGTCGGGCGTGGAACAGTGAGTATCGACACCCTCGATCAGCCCACTTGTAATGGTTGCGTTTGTGTCGCTTCACCTTCGGCAAACTGCAGCAGCTGCCAACAGTCACAAGACTCAAGGAACGGCTTCAGCAGCGCCTGATGTTCATCGCTGAGGTCTGCAAACGCCTGTTTCACCTGTAACAGACACTTCACCCGGTAGCCGGGGCCATTCAACGCCTTGGAAATGTCGGTCCCTTTGACCTGTTCCTTCATGGCGTTCGCAAACATGAAGTACATAGGCGCCATACTCACAATCAGACCTCGCAAGTTGTCGGTCAGGCAATCCTGCGCATCTGCCCATTC